AACATTTGTTCTTTCCATGGACTTTCTTCCAAAAAACAAATTGTTGTTTTTCATTCACTCCGTGTACACAAATGGATCTCTCAATAATGCATGGTTTCACCATAACTGCATTTTGGAACTTGTCATTGTGAATTTTTGGTATCTGTAAGATAGTAGCTACTATTCCAGTTAAAAGCACATCTTCCAACTTAAACAGATAGCGCAGATGAAGCGACGCATAGTATAATTCTTCTACCAGTCCCACAGGTATCAGGTAAGCATGTCCCATAACATAGCTAGGGTAGACGGCGTGATTATACTCGTTATGGGGTACGTAACGTTTTCCTTCCTTAATACGACTGGGGATTGAATTTTTATTAATATGTCCATAAATTGCTCGTTTCCATAATTTGAGTGTTGAGATATACTTTAGCAGGCGAGGTACGTTAATAAATACATCATCATCACATTTAAGCACAAATTTGACTAGAGGACAGTAATCCTTCACCCATCCTAACATCGCTATAGTCTTAAGGGTCAAGTTGTTGAACGTATCTGAAAAATTCCCCAGCAAAATATCTTTGTGGGTGCGGTGTTCTGCTTCAACACTTTTCATCAGAGTCGAATTATTTGTTTGGCCAATAAGGAATAAAACTGTTGCTGGAGAACGTCCCCATGATCCTCTTATTGCCATCCGAGCACTGTTCCGAACTGGGGCTGATGGAACTACGATAACCAGTTCCATATTTTTACCTTTGTATGGACAAACGAACGGTTTAGTTAAACCGTAAATGTCTTCCCCTGCTCGTTTGCTTGAAAAAAATTCGAGCATGAACTTCTCGAAGGTAGGCGCCAATGAAGCATTACGTCCCATGCCAGGATTGCGAGTGAACAATTTTGAACGGTAACGATCAATAAATTCTGGTCTGGATACAAAAATGGTATACAATATTACAGCAGTTTGTAACACGCAAAACACAACTAAGATCTTCTTGCAAAACATTCCTGAAAGGAACATTTAATGTAGCTAATGACAAATACTCATAATTGAGCCCTTACTTTGTATGATACTGGTACTTCACTACTTATGGATTAACTCTTCACCGCCCAAAATGTAGCTTTCGTATCGGTAAATTTATCTGACAGTAGACGTTGACAGTTAACAATTGCATACATGGTATCTGAGATCAATTTAACATGTACCGATTATTTCATTAATCATTTTTGAGTCACTTACTGTACTTTTTGCAGATAGATTTGCGCAAAAATTTGCACACTACCCATGTGAATGTCAACCAAGTAATCAGTGTTAACGACGTAGTCCTCCACAACCCTCACCAGATAATCCGGCAACGTATACAATGGTTCTTCTATTCGCTGAGGTAAAGGCATTTTTCACGTCAAATTACAATTAAGCTTAGAATATCGGTAGCTTCATCTACCCTTGAGAATCAGCACTAGTCGGCTCTTTTTCTACCTATCTGGGTAGGCTTCCGTCCTCATCATTTCGTTGGCGATGTTGGTCCATATACCTAGACGACAGGCTGCCACCGCTTTCACCACCCTAGCCGGTTTTTTGTCAGTTCCAGGGGCCCTGTCATTCGGTAGCGAGTCTGTGGCTGCCTTGACCTTCATCGTTGTTAACCGTGTTGATTTTCTCCGTCATTGCCACCTCCTTGATCAACACGGGATTGATGGGCAAAGGTTCGTCAACCGCCTTCAGGAACGCCGGCCTCACTAGGTCAAGCTTGCGCATGTCCCAACTTCTATACCATAATGACCATCGCACAGCAGGCTTCAGTTGGGTCGGTGTCCATGTCCACGTAATAAAATTTTCCTGCCACCGTTGCTCTGCCACCAGCCTAACCTCCATAAAGGCCCCGCGACGTTGGATTCGAGTGTTTGTCATCGGAGCCCCCTAAGCTGGAGTCGCCGCATTTCGTCTCCGGCCTCTATAGCTCTACTTGCTCCATTAATTCTAATGACGCTCTTGAACCACATCTGAATGATCGTAAAGTGACTCGGTTTCGGTAGTGACGATTATAAGTGCCTTGTCATGGCTAAAACCCAGACTGATAGCGCCGAAGGGTGTCGCGGCGAATCAACCTCCCAAGTCAAGGTGTTAGCGACCGTGTCGAAGAGTGCGTGGCACTGGGGTGCAGTGTCGATAACGGCGCTTCTTGACCACTTCCGAGTGGTGGCTCCTTTCTTTCAGGAAGGGGCTGGCAGGCCAAACCCTGGGCAAGCGGATCTACCCAGATGAGACTGCATTTCTGCACTACTCATGGAAATTGTATGGACGATAATCTAAACAAACCTTTCCTCTATAGAGGGGGGGGGCAACAAGCCTAATCCTCAAAAGGGGTCCGATAACGGCGTAGGACCCTCGAAAAAGGAACGGCTCCAACTAAGGGCCTTGTTCAAAGACCTGGGGGTGGGCCAGTTGCAATTCGCAAGCGGAATAAGGCTGACGCACAGAAGGCGATGTACAAGAAAGGTTGGCTCGAGAGTAAAACCTCGGGTCGAGCGGGCCCTGCGCCAAAGCTTAAGGCGGTGTGTCCTGACCGTTGATTCACGGAGGTAACTCGACGTCAGGGACCAAGCGTCTCAGGTCGGAAGGAAGCACTCCAGGATCTGACTCAGGGTAGTCTGAGGTTCTGGATCGCCTAAGGTTACGAGTGCACCACGAACCTTGACTCTGGTCAAGGTGCATTCCCTCGGCTGCCATGGTTCCGCTAGAGTCCCTTTTATTAGGACCTGTGATGGCGCGTCTCTGAAACAGCACAGCCACGAACTTAGGGTAACCTAGGTGATGGCTGTGTTATACGTGCGCATCTTGAAGCGCCTCCAGAGGCAAAATCCTGGTATCAGAACGACCCCGTGCAGTGGCGTATTTACGGGGGGGGGATGAAGGGGATATATCCCCCCCAGAAGAATTGAGTTATCATCATAGCTATTAGGTATTTAGGTAATACTCCGCTATCCGCTCCGCCCACTTTAAAATAAAGGCAATAATATATAGGTATATATAGAGAGCAATTTTGGTTTTGGTTAAAGTCTAAAGTCACTAAAATCTAATAATATTCTGTAGTATTCAGTATTCACTATTCAGTGAGTGATCAGTGTTGGCAGTCAACGATTTGGCTATTCGCCATCGATCGGCAATTCGCTACATTGATGCCCAATATAACAAATAGGTATCAGGTACTTAGTACTGCTACTGAGGTGAGGTACCTGCGTCCTGCCTTTCACGAAATGAAAATAAGAATTTTAAATTTTAAAAACAGAAATTTTTTTGCCCATAACTTTTGATTGAGACGTCTAATCGAAAAAGTACGAATCGTTTTGTATTCTACGCACCCAAATTAATAAGAAAAAGTTTTTTCCCGAGAAATTTTGGTGCAGTCGATTTTTGCCCAGAAAAAAAATTGTCTCAGATCGACCGGAAAAAAATATTTTCTTATAGAATGTAGCCTGTAGAATCCATAATTCCAAACAGTTCCAAGATCGGACTACTAGATCAAAAGTTACAGCCCTTTGAATTTTTTGTCGAAATTGTTTTTTGCCCATAACTTTTGATTGAGACGTCTAATCGAAAAAGTACGAATCGTTTTGGATTCTACGCACCCAAATTAATAAGAAAAAGTATGTACCACGAACTTGTTTAATCCCCCCCTCCCCCCCAGAATAAATTTCTACGTACGCCACTGACCCCGTGGAGGACATTCTTTCGCAGGGCGGAGCCTCGTAGGGCCCTCTTCGCATTTGATGTCGCTGAAGCAAACTTCGATCCACAATGAGTAACTACCCGGGTCGCTGTAAGGCCAACCCACTGCAAAGTAGCTGCCCGGGTGATTACCGAGGGATCTCTGAGATGGGCGGTCAACACGTTTAGCCCATTTAAGAGTGCAGAACCGGACGAGATATTCCCGGCTCTTCTGCAGAAGGGTCTGGAAACACTGCACTTACATTTTTTGTACCTCGTTAGAGGCTCCCTAGCTTTCGGGTATATACCCTAAAGCTGGAGAAAGGTAAGGGTTGTGTGGGGAAGGATTACTGGCCCGTCAGCCCATCATCGTTTCTTCTAAAAACGGGGGAGAGACTGACGGATGTATACACTAGGAATGGGGTACTGGTCCTTAGACCACTACATCTATTGCAACATTCTTACAAGGCGGGTATGACCACGGGGACGGCTTTTCACAACCTTGTGCGCAGTGCGCAGACTGGAAGGGGGAATGTTTACCAGGGGGTAGCCCTGGGAGCGTTTCTGGATATCGATCGAGTACGTTTAACATTAGTAAGGCTGCTTGACAGATTTGGGGTTGATAGATCAATCGTAAGATGGATCCGCGCCATGCTCGGAAGCAGCACCAATAATTTATCTTCAATCCAATCGGAACGACGGAGATGACTTCCTCCAGTTACTAAGGATGTCCGCTGGGTGTTGTCTCCAATGCTGTAGTTCCTGGTGCTAGACGGCCACCCTGAACGAGGACGTAACCGTGAAAGAGCTCATGCAGGGGGCTTTTAAACAGGTTAACCCGGAAAAAACGGAGTTGTTCTATTTACGAATACAATGAGAGCGGACCTTGACGAGCTCACTCTTCGAGGACGTCAACAGGGCCTGTTCAATCTCGCTATAGTGAAAAGAGATTGAGTCGTAGCCCGTAGGGATGTAATGTAAGCGATAGTATTGTAGACTGGGAACAATCCTTGAGCAATTCGAACGATATGGCATCATCTAATTTATTCTCTAATATTTACAGTTTTTTCTGATGTTGGTCTCATATACAATCATTCTGTGTTAAGTAAGGGGTTCATCCCTCAGCTCAGAGACGATTACATAAAAGCAGCGAATTTTCGTCGCCATTGATGTGGGCGTGGCCTCTGACAACCAAGCTTCACTACCGGTTGGTATTTGGTAGCAGTTGAATTTGTCTTATAACCGTTGTATTGTAGGTATACCGTTGGTAATTCGTAATTTTTAGGGAGTTTTTGCGCGTGTGTCTGCCTGCTTGTAAACTGTAATTTTTCTAAATATGTACGAGTTGTTAGCGGGTGGAGTCCTCTAAAGTTTGAATAGCAACAAGTGTCAAAATAAAAGAGTTTTAAAAAACTATGGGTTGTTCGGTCAGTACAACAGGTGACAAAGAAGCCTCAGAGAGATCGAAAAAAATTGATAGAGACCTAAGGGCAGATGGAGAACGGGCAGCTAGCGAAGTAAAGTTGTTATTATTAGGTATGTAGGCTGACTCATATCTGTCGTTTATTGCTATTATCGCCTTCTAAATCCGTTTTTTTTTTGCCGTGGGTTAGGCGCAGGAGAATCGGGCAAGAGCACCATAGTCAAACAAATGAAAATAATTCACGAAACTGGATATTCTAAAGAAGAATGTGAACAATACAGATCTGTAGTCTATAGTAATACGATTCAGAGCTTAATGGCAATTATCAGGGCTATGGGACAGTTGAGGCTCGACTTTGCCGATCCTACACGAGCTGTAAGTAAACTATGTTTGAGACAAGTGCTTCACCCAATTCTTATAGGATGTTGCACGTCAATTTTTCACATACGCCAGTGCGGCTGAAGAAGGTGAACTAACACCGGAATTGGTGATGTTAATGAAGAAACTGTGGGCGGATCCCGGTGTTCAATTGTGCTTTTCGAGATCTCGCGAGTTTCAGTTAAACGACTCAGCTCCGTACTATCTTAATGCCTTAGATCGTATATCGTTACCGAATTACGTTCCAACTCAACAGGATGTACTAAGGACGCGTGTTAAAACCACAGGAATTGTAGAGACGGACTTTTCGTTTAAGGGTCTCCATTTCAAGTTAGTTTGTGCCTATTGTAATTTTGAGGTTGTTTGATGTGTGTTGTTTTTTAGAATGTTCGATGTTGGAGGGCAGCGGTCCGAGCGGAAAAAGTGGATTCATTGCTTCGAAGGTGTCACCGCAATCATATTTTGTGTTGCATTGTCAGGTAATATGAATTTAATTGCCTTGTCATCATTCAACATATTCCTAAATATTTCATATGTATAGGGTAATTAAAAACTGAGGGAGATTTTAGGACTTTCCAGCTCCTCAGAACGGTCGGTTTTTTACACCAAATGTATAAAACTAATGCAAGTTTTATATAAAACCTAAAGCCTTATTTTCAACATGTGTATGTATATTTCTAATGATTGTGACTGTCAGAATACACCATAAATTAAAAAAATGTGTCAGTGTCCATAGTGTAACCCCAGGGGAAGAGGGTTACCTCTGGCTAGTTGGGGTATGGCGCTATGGTGGCTCTGGAAAAGTGGGCGTCTCTCAGTACCTCCCTGTCTCTGAGAGGTTGTCCATATAGGAACTGTCTTCTCTTCTGAAGCTAGCTGGGTTATAATATGAACCTTTTTAGGTGGGATGTAGAGGAGGTGGATTCTATAGAGCTGGAACCCCTCCCCTCTCTCTTTTTATATAGCTTTAGGTTTACCTTATAGGCCTCTCAAGCGGCTATAGCTTTGCTCTTCCTTGCCTTATTGAACAGTTTGCCCATATGAGTTTTCTACTTTTCGAGCGCCCTGCACCACGATGGACCATAGGGTGTCTTGGTAGTCCTCAGAGGACATACCTGTTCAAATGACTCCACAATGGAGTTGGTAAGAAGAACTTCTTTGTTTTATAAGTCGGAAGGACCCAGGGGGCATCCCTCGAAAGGTTGCTTTCCAAGTTTTTCTTCACAAAGATGTTTGTAAAGTGGAATACCCGTTCCCTTGGGGTTGCGATAATCCTTTTGGACGGCTGGCAACCGAATTGTCGCCAGCCGCGCTCACAGGATCACCCGTGCCGGGCGGCATGTAGTAGGTTATGGAATCGTATTGTAACATACACAGTCTAGTTCTGTGGACGAATTATAGAAACTCTGGGGGGGGGGGGGCAAATAATGACCACTGCCAGATCTTCAGATTCCCGCGGGCCCCAAATGGCAGCCTTGCAGAGCCTGGGAAGACAGTCTTCCTGCACTACCTTTAGATGTAAAGCCTCCCATAATAATCGCTACTTTGAGTTGCCTTTTGGCAGCTTACTGGTAGCTACTGTGCCCGCGCTACCCGCTTTTGGTGGGGGCTGTGGTCTACCCTTCTTTGTTGGTGTTGACTCTGCTTCTTTTCCTGTCCGCCTACCCGTTTCCCGACCTGACCGGTTAGCTCTAGGAGCCAGTTTCTGCTTCAGGGTCACTGGAGGTGACTTTTGGAGCCGTTTGACTCATTTGGTCCAGCTCCTCAGCTCCGGAGATGCCCGTGGATTGTTGTTGAGAGCCAGTGACCTGTAAAACAGGTTACTAAAGGAATATAACTTCTAAAGGGGAGCAGAAAACAGGCCTGGAGTAGGGCATCGAGAACGGCCTAGCTTCAGCTAGTCAAACTGCTGCTGCTAGTACCATTTGTACCCTCATACTGGAAGGCGCTATTATGGCACTTTCTCCATTTGTCCTTGGCCTTAATCACTCCTACAGTTTTCAAGATATTTAGTTCGTTCTTTTTGCATTCGGTAGCTGATAACTCCGCCACCTCAACCAGGAGAAATTTTGACGATTAATGTGGGCATGCGCAAACTGCTCAATGTCAACTTTCTTATTTATAGAGATATGTTTTTTAAATTTTAATTTAATATTGTAATAATCAGATGTGCGCATGCGCAATGCTAACTTATTCTCCTTTGTACCTACACATAAATAGTCCTTTCTTGAAGTACTGATCAATTCATGGAAAATGCGCGAAAACCTTTTTTTCAATCCAATGATATGTCGATTCGTTTGCAGGTTACGATTTGGTGCTGGCAGAAGACGAAGAGATGAATCGAATGGTTGAATCGATGAAGCTGTTTGACTCGATTTGTAATAGTAAATGGTTTGTGTCGACTTCGATCATTTTGTTTCTAAACAAAAAAGATCTGTTCGAGGAAAAAATTACGCGTAGTCCTCTCACGATTTGCTTTCCCGAGTATACGGGCCATAACAATTACGAAGAAGCGTCGGCGTATATACGAATGAAATTTGAAAATTTAAACAAAAGGAAAGATCAAAAGGAAATATACACTCACTTTACATGTGCGACAGATACCAATAACATACAATTCGTTTTCGATGCCGTTACCGATGTGATTATAAAAAATAATTTGAAGGATTGTGGCCTTCTTATGTAAAAATTGTGACATCTACTATTTACTGTCGCATGAGTAGTAAGTGTATATTGTAAATTTTGCTAATCATCTGTTTTTGCCAAGCAGAAACTTACAAAGTAGTTGATTAGCAACCGCTACATGCCAACTAGGTTATAAGATATGTTAGGGAATGTTAAGATACGCTGCCATTTATTCAATTCAATAACTACTCATTAAATTAAGATATTATAGACTGATTTTTTGTCACTTCGAAACATTCAAATTTTGCTGCCTACTTTAAGATCGTTCGATGGAACTGAGATTTATATTTTTTATATAATTGGGACTGATTAAAAAAATTTTAAACTGCGTAGTACTGAAAGAGTGCCAAGTGCCTACGTAATACAAGTTCGAGTAGTCACCTAAGCTAGGCTGAAAGGGAAGAGAAAACAATGTTATCTCAGCTTGTGTAGCAATAACCTCTAAGTCAGTGATCAGTTGTCAATTGTCAAAACGGGTAATGATTTGTGCTAACAGCTGACAGAAATTGTATTCAACATCTAATGGTTAGTAGATGTACGTGGCTTACAATTTTTTTGTTCAGTCCTACAGCATAAGTTATAGGTACTACCTTACTGACAGTATTGAAATTTTTTATAGATATATACACACACAAGATATTAGTGCAGTTTTGATATGTTGTACTTATTCGGTGATCAAATTTTTGGATTGTACAATGGGAAATCGATAATTCTGCGCAATTTTTGACTTTTATATATATAAATATGCAGTTTCTTTACAACTATATTCCACAATATGTGACTAATTGTAGGTATTATCTTTTATACAATTTTTATTTTTATACAAATGCTGTTTATAATTTTATTTTGTACTATAGTACTTTTGTAGTTTGGGATTAAAATACTGGCCTATTTTGGATATTTGCTTGTTTCGTAATAAAATAACGCAGAATAGTGCGTAATATTTCTCGATTAATTTATTGGTATACTAACGTCTATTTTTGTAATGTACTAACAAAATATAATGTGTTTTTCAACCATTTCGGCGGTTTATGCTTTTTTTTTAAATTATAGTTTCCTGATCTGTAAAAAAATGCAATGTGATAATTCGTAAATTGGGTCACAATTTAATTACAGTTTTTCAATATACACAATGTTTGATGGTCTGTGTGCATGTGCATGTGTGTTATTTAAACTTAATCGGCACCACGAACACCTCCCCGCTATTAAATGGAGCTCATTTTAATAAAGTTATTGTCATTTTTGTTTTAGATAATTAACACATGTTGAACAAATATATTTGACAGTTAACATATTTTGGTACATTTATTCAAATTTTACGTTGTAATTGTTAATAAAATATTTAAAGCTTGAGTGTAGTTATTTATTTAATAATTCTTATTAATAACCATTTTACATTTACTTGCTATGTAGTGAATCGTTATATGAAAGCACAAGAGGAGGTGCAAGATGTCAGTGTACAATTTACAGGGTTTTCGAGTGATATTCGCGGATCTCGAGATATTTTAAAGCATCTCTGAGTGTTGCATTCACCCATTTAACATCAACTCAAATTATAAATTGAACATTGTTAAAATTTTAGTGGAGATGAAATTTCACAGAGGCTTTTAAACTTATATTTTAAATTACATAGAAATATTTAGAAATTTTGTACCTGCAAATATCACCAATAAACAAATTGTTCACTGATGATAGTCCCGTTACAGTATTCTGTAAATATCCAATTCCTAGAAAAACATGTAAAAGGGCGTCGTTTTTTATCAAATGAGGACATGGAAAATCCCGTGCAAGTCAATTGCACATCTCTGCCTTTCTGTTCCCCTGTAAACCACACGATAGCTTCTAATGAGGTCAGCCACTGCTCCCTGTCCTGGAGAGTGACTTTGTAACTCTTTGGTCTTAGTAAGACTGCCCGGATTACATCACTTTCTGCAAAGAGGGGACAGGATCTGAGGGTTGCCTTCCAGATTCGCCTTGGGGATCGCTAAATCGTCCGCTTCGTTCAGAGTGCGGAGGTGCCCGTGTATAGTACCAGGCGCAACAGCAGTGGAGGCTAACACTCCACCCTGCGGACATCCTCTATAAGCGATGAGCTCACCTCCGTCGTCCCGAGTTATGATTGACCCCCCCATAGACATTCCCCTCGCCAGACTTCTGTGTAGAGCCATCTCCGTGGACATATACCCGCCCTGTAAGCATGTTGGGATGGATGCGTAGTGATGGTCTGAAAAGGACCAGTACCCCATTTCTTATGTATGCATCCACCAGCTTCTCAACCGTTTAGGTAGGTACACGACCCTTACCTTTCTCCAGCTTTCAGATTCGGACCTTCGAGGATATACCCCAAAGCCAGGGAGGCTCTAAAGAGCTGTCCAACAACTGTAGCAGCAGTGGCTTCAGACCCTTCTGCAGAAGAGTCGGGAATATCCCGTCCGGTCCTGCGCTCTTAAATGGGCTGAATGTGTTGACTGCCTATCTCAGAGATCCCTCAGTGACCACCTGGGCAGCTCTCTCTTCCAGTCAATTTGCCTAGACCGACCCAAAAGTAGCTCCTTTTGGTGGGTTCAAAGTTCCGTAGTCTCCAGAGCTTAGAAAGTGTGTTTCCAGGAGACATGAGGGGGCCTCACCTCAGATGTTTCCATTTTTTGCCCCGGGTCTATCAAAAGGATTTTACAAAGATTTTTGACCATCAGGAAGACTTTCCGTCATATTACAACAGATGAAGGTCCTTCATGATCCATGTTTAGACCTTCGAATATGGTCCTTATACCTGCGTTGAGCGACCTTGACTCCCAGACAGACCAACCCCCTTACGATCCTTTTCAAGGTCTGAGTTCCACCAAAGTGCTGTTCGCTTCGTTTCTCGAAAGATCTGACAATTTCACCACATAATTAATTATATATAATAATGGGGCGTAAGCCTGTTGAAGGCCTATAACAAGAGTGACAAAAATAGTAAATAATAAAATAAATAATAGAGCAGTCCCAGTCAGTGAATCGGGGATTCCGAAACCTACCGGATCCGCAGTGGGATGCCAGGTTTAGTTTGAAAAGATATGCATGTGGTTCGAAAGCCAGACACCCTCAAGGGGGCTATTGAAAAGGAGCTGAACGTCATCAGATCGTTCCTAAGGTAACCAAGGTGATGACTGTGTTATACGCGCTCCCCGAAGACCACGATTACCATCTAGAAGCGCCTCCAGACACAAAATCCTGGTTACAGGACGAGCCTATGGAGGACGTTCTCCGCAGGGAGGAGCCTGGTACGATCTTCCTTGCATTTGGTGTCAATCAGGCACTCCAGCGGCAGAGCATTCCAGCGCACGCGAGTGCTCCGGCTGCGACAGGTAAAGGGGAGGGCGCCACCAAAGCAGCGGGATCCAATCCGTTGCGACGAAGGCGCGCTCAACCCCTCGCTATTGACCTCTAAGGGGCGTCGGGATTACTACTGACGTCCTTAGAGGGCGAGGAAGATGTCAACGAGCTTTTGGCAGGAGTCGCAATCGTCGGCACCACACTAGGGGAGGGGCGAACCTAATTTACAGAGCAATTTGCAGCACAGTAAGGGGGCGCCGACCTGTTTAATAGGCCGTCAACTTGCTGGGTTTACTAGGTGACGCATAAGGGGTCTAGTTCAGGTGGAGGACTCCCTTATTTGTTATAAGAGGGACCGCCAAGTACTTACATTTATGTTGATAGACGAATCGAGTCTTATCTAATGGCTGATTTCTGTTTCAGCGATCTCAGCTGAAAGATAGCAGAGGTGGTTTGCTCAGCCGATCTCCGGCTCACGACTCAGAAGAGACCCCACCTAACAGGGAGCTGGCTGAGTTGATAGAGTACTATCGAAATGGTGGGCTCCCTCTTGTGGTTAGCTGTGATGCAAACGCACACTATGTTGCGTGCGGCAACACTGACACGAACTCGAGGGGCGATCCTCTGTACGTTCAGAGACGCGCCATCCCAGGGCCTTATATAACAGAGACGGTCCTCTCCAAGCAGTCCAAGGGTCCACTGGTGTTCGCATTCGACCACAATGGCACCTTTGATTGAGCCTCAGTGATGTCCACCTCCGGATGCGACGCCGGAACAATGACCATTCTGAGCCCCGCTGCACCGGGGAACCTCGGGGCTTCTTCTCAGACTGCCTTGAGCGAGACCTTTTCCGAGTGCTGGCCATCGCCTTCTGTGCGCCCTATTCTCCTTGCGAATATAGGAACTAGTCCACCACCAGGTCCCTGAGTAAAGCTATGAGTTGAAGCCGTTCCCTCCAGTGGCGTATTTACGGGGGGGGTGAAGGGGATGGAGACGTCTAATCGAAAAAGTACGAATCGTTTTGGATTCTACGCACCCAAACTAATAAGAAAAAGTTTTTTCCCGAGAAATTTTGGTGCAGTCGATTTTTGGGAAAAAAGGAAGGTGCCTTTTTTTTGCCCAGAAAAAAAATTGTCTCAGATCGACCGGGAAAAAATATTTTCTTATAGAATGTGGCCTGTAGAATCCATAATTTCAAACAGTTCCAAGATCGGACTACTAGATCAAAAGTTACAGCCCTTTGAATTTTTTGTCGAAATTGGTTTTTTGCCCATAAATATACCTATTATTCAAAGTTTTCGTTGACTAATTAAAGCAAAAGCAATAAAGGGGCCTGTCAGCAGTAAGAAATAAAATACCGTTCTAATCTAATCTTTTTCGCCTGTACAATAATAAATAGATAAATGACTACCAGCATCAGCAACCTGCAACCCAATTTCTATTTCTTACCCCCCCCCCCCTTCTAGTACGCACTTGGTGACTGTATGTGCCACGAACTTGTTTAATCCCCCCCATAAATTTCTACGTACGCCACTGGTTCCCTCTTTCGAGGAGCCTGCCCCGTTACCGGGCCTCTTTTCAAGACCCGGCTTGTTGGTCCTCCTTGACGAGGAGTCCAGAAAGGGTTTGTTTGGTTTGAAATCATCCATACAATTCCCGCACGAGTAATGCGGAAATGCGCTCTCACCTGGGCCAAGTCTCGTACCCGGGACTTGGCTGCCGACCCCATTGCCTTGGCAGGGTCGCTAACACCTTGACTTGAATGGTTGGTCGGCGGCGACAACCATCGTCACTAAACCAGTCTGGGTTTCGCCCCGACCAGCCACTTATAATCGTCATATCCACGATCCACCCCGAAACACGAGTCCCTTTACGATCATTCAAGTGTCTGTCCTATCCGCCACCCGAGGACGCACCCGATGGTTGCCTCCACCCACGGGTCACACCACCATAGGCCATAATAGGCTATGCCATTGAATGGCTATATGCCCAACATGTGACATATAGATAGGCAACATATTTAGCAGATCAAAATCTATAGATTCCCTAATTACCTTACAATAACTGATGGGAGGTAAATGTTTTATGTGAAGTACAGAGTAGTTACGTATGGTTCTAGTTTAACCTTGACAAACTACTTATGATTACGAAACTTGGTCCATTGCAATTACGTCCTGCAAACACAATGCTATCGTTCTAATCTATAGATAAAATTTAAATTTCCCTCCTTTTCATTGGCCAATTAACCACAAATAAAACTCTCAAGTTGATCCAATATTTCAATTGTTTTGTTAAAACTAAAAATACAAAAATATCACGTTTCAATGTTGTAACAATTTAGTGGTAGCTAAGATAAACAATGTGTTTAATTTATATTCGTTTCTAATTTTTGTAAATTAGTATGTCAGCAGTAGAAGACCCAAATAATGAGAAGTATCTTCAGTGTGCCCATAAAATCTGGGAGAGATTTACTCAGTGGATACACTGCATATGTGTTGTTACCTTCGACTTAGAGTTAGGACAAGCTTTAGAGGTGAATTTTTGTATCGCATTTCCTTGCACTAACCCTGCATTATTTTTAGAACGTGTATCCCAAGCATGTAACCTTAACGAAACAAGAAATTTCTAATATTTGTTATTTGGCGTTTCCCGACTCGAATTCGGGATGTATGGGTGATACTAACTTTGTGATACGTTTACCACGAAGCCCCGGTAAATCGGAGTTAAGTCGAGAGCATCACAGATATAACTCGACCTGTCCAGTCGCGCTACAAATTCATGCCGGATATTATTGGGGTTACGTTTATTTTAGGCAAGTTAAAGACATTTCGCTACCACGAGGCTACTTTCAAAAGGTATAATTCCGTTTCTTATCGAATTTGTGATTCAAACTATGATTTCAGAGCGTGGTTATTTTATCTAGGCTACCGTTTAACAAATTATTTAGTACAATTAGTTGTTTAATATCGCCGGAGTATTTCGAAAATGGGGAACCTAGCCTTGAAGCTGCATGTCATAATATTGATAAGTGGCCACCTCCTGTACCCGGTGAAACTTTGAACTTACCTTTGATGGGGTCTGTGTTTCAGGTAAATTATTGCCCATTTCTGTGTGTTACTCTGCATTGTATTTATTGCGTACAATCCCTGAAACCGAGGGGTTGACCGCTGGGCAAATGTGGTGTACAGTCCCGAGGAAATGATGAGCAAATGTTGGGCAAATGTAGCAAATGTTGAAGAAATGTAGAGAATGTTCAGGGAATGTGGCAAATGTAGTAAATGTTTATTAAATATGACATATCAATGCGAGTATCAATGATTTGTAAATATAAAGATAAATGTATACCAGGCCCTTTCATTTCGTGAAAATTATGCAAAGAAAGTGTCTTAAAATTCGTTCATGTAGTGCAGTCGTAAATAATGTGCTCGAGCAAGGTCATGGTGTTCTATTACACACCATGAGCAAGGTGAATTCATAACGGTGGCGGCACTCCGACTGTTTTATACAGGGTCATTCTTGACGAGCATGAGTTAGAAAGATATGGCAAACCTTTGAAAATGATACTAAACTGATAAGTCCTTTAAGGGTTTTGGCACGTGATGAATTGAACTAAAATATTTTTAAGATGGCGCCACTTCCAATACCGGAAGTAGCCATCAACTTTGTTATTTTAAATAGGGACCCCCTATTTTTTCTACATTTTCGGATTCTACGTCGAATTTGGAGTACAACGAGTTGACCCTTTGCTCCAAGGGCTTCGTCGATATTCAAGTTTTTATGTCAAAAATGAAATTTGCAGGGGTAATTTTAAAAATTTATTATTCGCAAACGGTGAGAGATATTGCAAAACACTGCTTTATTAAGGAAAGATCGAATTTTCTTATGGTATGCGTAACCGTCTAAAAAGTGAGACTACGTCACTATTTCAAAGCTCTCAACTTTTAAATTTTTAAATATTCGTAACATCATTTTTTCAAATGGCACCCCCTCCCCTCACATTTTTTTCTTCACTGTTGTTTTCCTTTTTCCGGGACCTTTAATTTGATACAAAATGTCAGAGGCTGCTTGAAACGGTTTCCGAGATATTCCACGTTTTCGTCACTTCTTGTAGCAAATTGATTTAAAAACATTAATACATTTTTAAAATTACCCCTGCAAATTCCATTTTTGACATAAAAACTTGAATAGCTTTATTCTTTAAATATTCCAGCTATCATAGTATGAACTATATCAGTGTCGTCAAACATATATAAACTAGTGCATCTACTAACAGAGCAATTTACACATATAAATAAAATAATAAGAGGTCAAGTTAAAATACAGTAAAACACTTAAGTAAAATAGACAAATATCACAGAATATTAGAACACCAATCAGTAAGTAGAAACTCTTCAAAAGTGTAAAAAGTGTTAATCTTAAGGTAACTAATCACAACATTTCTTAATTAATCGATAATCGATTTATCGAAGAAGCTCTTGGAGCAAAGGGTCAACTCGTTGTACTCGTAGAATCCGAAAATGTAGAAAAAATAGGGGGTCCCTATTTAAAATAACAAAGTTGATGGCTACTTCCGGTATTGGAAGTGGAAGTGGCGCCATCTTAAAAATATTTTAGTTCAATTCATCATGTGCCAAAACTCTTAAAGGACTTATCAGTTTAGTATCATTTTCAAAGGTTCTCCATATCTTTCTAACTGACAGTCGTCAAGAATGACCCTGTATAGGAAGCGCGATTACCAAATCTGCCCTTGTATGCTTATTGCCTACCTTCCAGTCGTAGGCTGGTTTTACTATGGAGTCATATGGGAGATACCCCGTTTTTTTTAATATGATCATTAATAAGATGATTCTGAAGTTGTAACTCATACAATGTGTTGATGTATACCTACCCATTGATTACACAGGCCAACACGATTTTTGACTTTGATAAGAGAATATGAAATTTTGATACATTTATTGATAGTTAGACAAAAAAAAATATATAAGGCCTGAAAAAGTTTGCTTTTGTATCCAGGAGAGCCGTTGACCAGTATTTTAGAAAATCCAGAATTGAAATTTTTATTTAACGATAAATCGAAACAAATGTAATTGTATGACACTTTTACTATCATATCAAATTTAAAATAGTAAAAAAAATTTATTAGTGAATCCTATATTACTTTTTTTTTCCGTCTTCATAAGTGCTTTCTCTCACTAAACCCAAAAACAAAATATAGTCCCCCATCACACTTTCGTTGTATTTATCATGATAATGTTGTTCAAAGTTCATAATACCTTGATAACAACGTTCTACTCATTTTTCTGAGTACGCCCTCATATAATAAATAATAATAAAAATAATCATATTTATTTTTTTTTGCAAAAATCGTTTACCTTCTAAAGGTCTTTTGTAGTTACTACAAGCAACATGTGGTGTGGAGGTGTCTAGATTCCGAATGGGGTAGTTAAAATAGGTTTCGTAGGATTCATAAGGCTTTTTACAGGCATTTAAAAAAAATTTTGTCTTTCATACTTTAATAAATATACCATAGAAACGAACTTAAAAATTAAGATGGACTGCTAATGTTGAATTGACAAATGACACTTACATGGGAGCAGCCATGATGTGCACTTACTTGGCGCGAAATTCAAATCAACTAATAAACAAGCATTAACCCAACATTAACCTCACGTTTTCTAAATAAATTACTGTGACACATGTCATTTTCCAAGGCTACAATAGTTTCAAAACTTGAGCACTACGAAAAATTCCCTAGAAAATAACTAAAACGTTTGATCAGCAGTCCATCTTAATTTATAAGTTCGTGACCATAGACCGCATAGGTATATAAAAATATGCATCAGCATCATATTTCCACTTTCTTGACCACATTTTAACCTCTATGAATCTTCTAGAAAATATTCAATTGTTGTTTATCACTTAAGTGATATCATATTTCAATTACCAAATGACCCGCGCAAATGCTTGTACATATACTTAAATGTATGTTGTACCTCAATGATGAGCAAATGTAACAAATTTCTGGTAAATTTATAGCGAATATAGCAAATAATAATATATGTAATGTAGTTAATAATAATAATAATAATATATAATAATAATAATATAATATAATAATAATAATAATAATAATAATATTTAATTGACTGTAAAATATACTTACAAACAATATAAATAAACATAAGAAACAGTAAACGTCAATAAACTTCACACAAATGTACCGAATTACATGTTTAAATACTCGGCCACGGAATAAGGTTCGAGATCGTAGAGCAGATCAGTGATAGCTCTTTTAAAAGCGTTTTTAGATGTAACAACTTTGTGTAAATGTAGTAAATGTAGCAAGTTTCTGGTAAATTTATAGCGAATGTAGCAAATATTGTGTAAATGTAGCAAATGTTGTATAAATGTAGTAAATGTAGCAAATGTTGAGCAAATGTGGAAAATGACAAATGTGGTGTGCACAATTTTGCGCAGTGGTCAGCCCCTCGCCTGAAACCAAAGGGCACAGCAATGTTTTTAACATACTAGTAGCAACTATTCACTGCATTGCGGCCGTGGTAGAATAATGGTTTTTTTGTATTCTGTATTGGTTTCCAAGCAATGTTCAAAATGTTAAGGTGTAATAATAAATGTCAGTAATTTTAAGCTTCTTGTACAAAATTACTGTGGAGATATGACTATTTAAACTGTGAAGAAGAAGCAACAAGGCAATTGCTGCCTCCAAAATCCAAAAATATATGGAAAACGGATCTACCGCTCATTTTAGTCTAGTGTTTTAAAATAATGTGCCACCTACAACAAAAAGGTTTGAGAATATGGTAAGGGACACTATTCATCTGTAAAGGCTTATATACTCTTTTAATTTATTACTTTTCTCAAAACAATCCCCAACACCAAAATACAAGGAAGTTGAAGAAAAAAATCATCATTTACCAATGTAAAGTTCAGGAACCCATACAATTTTCGTAAAGACTTGTCCTTTCATAATCAAAAATAAAGTAAAAAAATATTTTGAAAGAAAAATTTCGAGAAAATCTGAAAATTCGATATTCATGTTTTTTTTATATCAATCCCAATTAACAAATTTTTTCATTAGTTTTTTTTTTCGTTTTAAGTATATTCAAAAGAGATCTTATTGATATTAATTATTTAATTATCAGATTGTTTCAAAAATTTAGAGTAAAAAATTATGAACGTTAGGTTTCAATCCTCAGCATTTATTTTCTTTTTTTTTATTTCAGGTTCTTCTGCACTTTCCTATACTTCATTCGAATGTAATTTCTTCGTAAACCTTATTGTCTAACGATGGATAACTTGGTCCGTCATTAATCATATCATCTTGACCCAAATCTTCAGAATGATCATAAAAAACTTCTTCTGCATTTGTGCCGTTTTCTAAATTATGACACTTGCGTAGATTACTGCATTTCAAACAATGGTTTCGGCAACTACATCTTGCTGTTTCCACAGTTTTTTTCCCTTGCTAAAAAAACTGGAGGTTGTGTCACAACCGAAAAATGAATGCAGAAATGCAATGTATTTTTTAAATAAATTATATTCATAGCAATCAGATGTATAGTAGGCGTCTTTTTTTTACCGTGGCTGGTTTGAAAAAATGAATATCTAAATTAAACCAACCCTTAAACTTTAAAGGTTTGTCGAAATCAGTTCATAATTACGAAAGTTAGAGTGTTTCTTGGAAGTGATAAAGATAAACGTATAAATATACTGGTACCATTACAATAGGTAGATAGATAGAAGTCTAGCTAAAATAGTGTCTGCTTTTTTTTACATACATACCTATGTGTAAGTTTCTATATAGTTGGGATTAACGTAGAATTTTTTATTATTTAAAGTCCGCGCCATTTTTTAAGACTGCATCTAAAAATGTATTGGACATCTTTAATAAGGTATGTGTTTCAGTTGTTCTTCACTGTTATTATTTTTTTTTAGGTTGAAATACCGTACCACAATCCGTCGAAACCTTTGAATGGCAATAAAGAGTTTTTGATGTCGCTCGAAAATCAAGTTCAGATATCCTCCGTAGAAGACTTAGATTTGTTTGAAATTTTACAACCGATCTTATCTCACATCCATCTTTTGTGGGAATTAGTTTTGACCTCCGAACCATTAGTCGTAATGGCATCTTCGCCCACAACATGCTCTGCCATGGTTCTAGCCTTAACAAGGTAAAAATTGTGTGCTTAGTATCGTACTTATTATTTATTTTTCAGAATAATTTCTCCACTGAAGTACTGTGCAGATTTCCGACCGTATTTTACAATCCATGATAGCGAATTTAAACAGTTTACTAGCAAAGTGAGTAATGCTCCTCCGATGATTTTAGGAGTTACGAACCCATTTTTTGCGAAAACTTTACACCACTGGCCTCATACGATACGTTTAGGAGATGAGTCAAGTAATTTTTTACATTGTCAATGTAACTAATGCTACAGCTTATGTTTTAGGCCAGAGCCAAACATATAAACTGAAAAAAAACGCGAACATTAAAATGTTAGATATAAGACCCGGAGTGTACACAACGTATAAAACGTTTTTACACAAAGACAAGACTGTTATTAAAAACTTATTGCTCGGAATTAATGTCAAACGCCCACCTGAAGTGCAGTCTGCTTTATTACGACGCCATTTGTTGGAACTTACACATAGCTTTATCATACCGTTAGAAAGATACATCGCTAGTTTAATGCCTTTATTGAGAAATATTTCTCCATTTAAGGTAAGTCACAAAGGAGGAGTATTTTGTTTTTTTTATGCATGTAAAATTTGAAAGGATCTGACTAATCTAAAATATGGCCAATTATTCTACTAATTATTTAACTTTTTGATGCCAGAGCAGTAGGACTACAAATGTATGTCAGTTTTATAATTTCATTTCAATATTCGAAACTGATTGTACTACAAAGGTGAAAATATGTTAATGATCGGCAACAACATTCACTAGCACTGTGTTGTACAGGGTGTCCTATTAATAAAGGTCACAGGCCCTATCTCTGGAACCATTCATTGCACAGATTTTGTTAACAAGTTTGTAGGTTTGCCGCTAGAGGGCGTACAATTCATGGTTAAGTAGAAAAATGATTACATCCATCTAACATGCATCACAATTTTGGATGAATTTATTGCGCCAGCTTATAAAATATGAGGGGTGGGGGAAGAGGAACATCTCTTTAAGCAGTTGAATGTATAGCTGCCATGGAGAAAGATATTTCAGGTCGCCCCGGTGACGTCACTTGGTCGGCAATGATCGTGTACTTTTATAGCTTCAGATTACTTACCAGCGGCGGTATAAATTATGGGAAGAACAAAGGTATTTGTACTTATGTTATTTTTTATTAATACAATAGGATATATTTTTGCATTTTTACAAGACTATACTTTTTGTTAATTATTTCCAAGACTCTACCGAGTAGTTTTTTGCGTGAGTTTCTTCTGTTATAAAAGCCAACTTGAATGAATATTGCAATTGAAATTTTGGAATGTGTGTATTTTCGTTGTATTTCTGCTTAGGAAGCGGGTCTCAAAATGTGGTTTTCACTTCTTCATCATATTTGATAGTATCCTATAATTATATTGTGCCATTTGAAATTTTCCACAAAACCTGCAAAGTTTATGTTAATGTCAAACCTAGCCCTCGACCACTCACCATATTTACTACAAAGACTTTAGTACTGTACAATCTGATTACTTTCCAATAACTACATTACGTTAAAATCGGTTACCCTAAACCGAAGTTACATTCAACTCCTATGTATCCCTTCTCTCCACCCCTCATAATTATAAGCTAGAGCTATATGTGCTGCATCAAAATGATTAATGCTTGTTGGGTATATTTTAGGAAAAAAAAATCATCTTTCTACTGAAACATGAATCGTAGGCCCTCTAGCGGCAAAGCTTAAAACTTGAAAATATTTTTCCAGCGATTTCTCTTGAGTTTGGATATGGCCTGTAACAACCTAATTTTCCTACTTTTTAAGCAGAGCGGGACAGTATTCGATTTTGTAAATACTTTTTAGTATTCAAATCCTTTAAAGTATTCAAATACTTTGTAATTAAATACTTTTATGGAAGCAAGTATTTGTATTTGTAACTCAAATACTTTCACAAATATTTAGTATTCGAATACTTCGCAAAGTATTTGGATACTTCGTAAAGTATTCGAATACTTCGCAAGGTACCTATTTGAATACTTTGAGAAGTATTCGAATACTTCGCATAGTATTTGAATACTTAACCTTCCTTTTTTACCAAAAATCGACTACACCAAAATTTCTCGGGAAAACACTTTGTCTTTTTAATTTTGGTGCGTAGAATCCAAAACCATTCGTACTTTTTCGATCAGACTTCTCAATCAAAAGTTATAGACTAGAAACCAATTTCAAAAGAAAATTCAAAGGGCTGTAACTTTTGAACTACTAGCCCAATCTTGGAACTGTTTGAAATTATTGATTCTACAGGTCACGTTCTATAAGAAAATTTTTTTCCGGGTCGATCTGAGACAATTTTTTTTTCGGGCCTCAAAAAAGGCAGTGAGGAACTGGTCCGAATATGGGCCCCTATTTTGTTTTTCCCTTATAATTTTTGAATTTTTGGTAATTTTTTTGTAAAAGTTGGTATGCCTGTAGCCCAAAGTGTTAGATACGTAGAGAAAAATTTACAGTTCTGAAAAACAGAAAATAACTGTTTGTGAAGGGTACGTTTGAGACCACGTCATTTTTGTAAACAGTAGCAGAGTGAGCCAAATATGGGCCCCCTGGGAAAATTATCTAAAAATGCTATCTAATGCAAAATAACTTTTATTTTCAGTACAAAAATAAAATCTGTAATCCAGAAATACCGCTAACGGCAAAAGTCACAAACGTAGTAGTCTTTTTCCGCCCCTGAACATTGTTTATGAGCCCATAGAAAGCACTGGCACCGTATCCACAGTTCTCCTTTTTGATTTTCGGAAAAGTGTATGTCGCAAAACATGCACGCAGCATCTTCATCGTCAGGAAGGTTTTGGCCAATGTTTTCCAAGTCGTTGTCTTCGTCCTCTGGGATGAATTGTTCATTTTCTGTTTCGGCCTCGTCACTTTCCGATTCTTCTTGCCTCTTCGCTCTTTTCTTTGAATTGTTAGAATTTACTCTAGACTTTGGCAATTCCGGGGGGGGGGGGGTCGTTTGGGCGTCTTCTGGATTGATTGTTCCAAATCATTTTTGTATGGTGTAGAAGTGATGACCTGGGATTTCCCAGATTTCCTCCCGCGAGTCGCTTTCTTTTTTTGAATGGTAGGCAATGGCGAAATATCAAACGGGGTCACGATTTCAGCAGGCACGGATGATGTCGATGGTGCAGAAGAATAAAGTAGATGGACGAGGGACAATGGGCTCTTGAGATTCAGACTCTGGTCCTAATATGGGCCCTGGCCCATATTTAGACCTCACGAGGGGCCCAGGCCCATATTTAGACCTCACGAGGGGCCCATATTAACCACATTGTACGTTGTGGAAGAAACTGACGTAAGTTTTTTTGAGGTAACATAAACGCGAAATCGTTTGAACAGAAGGAAGATACATTCTAAAACAATAAGCGCATGCAGCGATCGTAATCAAAATAGATGTTAAAACTTCTAGAATCTCTTAGTAAACGACTCACCTAGAAAATAATGATAATCTTGAAACACTCACGAGAGCACTGCGCCACAATAGATATAGCTGGAAACAACACCATAATTGTAAAATGATGGTGTTATTAGTAGGTACCTCTTAAGAGGCTTACAGCAGATGGCGCTGATTGCGTTAGGACCTATTATCTGGTGGCCCATATTATGTGCATAGCCCATATTCGGACCAGTTCCTCTATATATAACCTTCCTTTTTTACCAAAAATCAACTGCACCAAAATTTCTCGGGAAAACACTTTTTCTTATTAATTTTGATGCGTAGAATGCAAAACAATTCGTACTTTTTCGATCAGACTTTTCAATCAAAAGTTATGGACTAGAAACCAATTTCGAAAGAAAATTCAAAGGGCTGTAACTTTTGAACTAGTAGCCCAATCTTCAAACTGTTTGAAATTATGGATTCTACGGGCCAAATTCTATAAGAAAATGTTTTTTCCCGGTCGATCTCAGACAATTTTTTTTCCGGCCTCAAAAAAAGGCAGTACTTTTAAGTTATTCAAATATTTGAGAACAATTTAGAAATGTTTAGGGAAAGTTTCCATTGTCACAAAATCAAATATAAAAACAATAAGGACCTTTCTTATATCCTTAAGACCATTGTGTACCAATTGTCAAAGCGATCGCACGTTTCTAAACAAACTATCATGCACACGGACAAACGGATGGTCAAAAATGGATCTGTTCCAAAATCGCTAGGATTAATTTCAGAAAGGCGTACGTATCATGTGCACGACGTGCGATCGCTTTGAAAACTGGTACACGTATTCTTAAGGATATAACTGGTATAAGAAAGGTCCTGGTAGGTACCTCCTATATAATAATAATAATAATACGCTTTTACTCCCCTTAAATTTGTATATAACAATAGAAATATAAAAAAGCTAACCCCATACAAAGTATAGGTAACTTAATTTTTTAAGTAGTATTAAGACTTTTATCTAGTATACTATTTTAAATTTTTAATGTATTTGAGTGACAAGTATTTGAATACTTTTTACTGTATTCGAATACTCTTCAAAGTAAGTTAATGAAATACTTTTCAAAGTATTGGAATACTTTTTATAGTATTCGAATACTTTTGAAAGTATTCGAATACATTCTAAAGTATTTAGTATTCAAATACTTTGATTTGTGTAAAGTATTTACTATTTAGTATTCAAATACTTTTTGAAAGTATTCTGCCCAGCTCTGTTTTTAAGTAATTTTGTAATAAACATTACGAATAATAAATCAATATTTATTAATTTATAGTGGCATTGCAAGATAATTTAAAATTGACAACAAATTTTCAGACAGAATTTGTACCTTATGTTATTTTTGGTTTAGGCCGCTCCCGCGCCATTAACTTTTAATCCAGACAATTTTTTTGCAACTTTGGACAGTACCGGACCTCAATTGACATCTGGAATCAAAGGTGATTGGGTGGGATTGTATAAGAAATTTTTTCGTTCGCCCAACTTTAACGGCTGGTTTGAAATGAGATACAAAGAATTGGTATTGAAGTTGCAGGCCTTGCAGCTGGAAGCGTTATCAGACGCTGTAAGTATTTATTAACTGCTGGTCTACATTTGTCCCGCAAGTTTCTGCTTCTCTAAACAAAAATTATCAGTCAGATTTTGGCATCGTCGTGAACTACATCTTGTATATATAGCGAACATTGATACAGCTAAAGATATGTACTTTACGTTCGATATCCTTATACCTATACACATTTTTTCCGTAAGGTGTATCATAAAAAACATACAAGTAGAACTCTGATGGTTTTAACATTCTGTCAGTTCAGGCAATGATCAAGTACACTAGGCGGTGTGTCCGAAACCCCAAATATCATTTTAATGGGTGTGTTACAATGTTTGATTTTAGGATTTAAAGTTATGGGTTCAAGGGAAACCAGAAGTGGAAGTTGTCGACATGTTTTTGAAAATCAAGAAAATTATCAAAACCGGCGAACGGGATATACCAATAAACGATGTAACAAGAGAACAGTTGGGCCAGCGATTGCAAGATATATTGTCTTCATTACCCGACGATGTTAAGAACATTTTGCAAGTTACTTGACAGTCAGTGTTTTAAAATGAGCCTTTTTTTTACAACACAGTGTTTTGATCAATTTCGTTATAGGTACCCACAATGATGTGGTCCAAGTTACAGCAATACAATGGATATACCTGTACTAGGTACAGTTGCAATTTCTATCATAAGAGCACAGGTTAGAGTTCTCATACTGCCGTTTTATTAGCGACCCACGCGAAGCATTTGACTCTCTTTAATCTTCATTCAATTGAAATCGCTAATTACAGTACCGCTTATTTATTACTTTGTTCTTTTACTTTCATAACGCAATTAGTGCAATTGTGGAATTTCTATAATCGTGATACCCACCTACCTTCAGCCTTAGGAACCTGACAACGCACAGGTACTTTCGCTAAAGTTCTCCGTTTCACAAGAACCACGTAGAAAGTTTGGAAATGTTTAATTAATTAAGACCAGATGCATGCTGTGGATAACTCTTGAGTAGTATAGCAGACGGTGTGCCAGACTGACTTTCACCTCATTTAGTTTTATTTTATCTTAATAAAATCTTAATTTAATGTTCAGTAAAAGACATTATAATTATTATCAAATAGTCACGTTAGATGTAATATTGTTGCAATGTTTTGGTATATATATGAGTGTCGTTCCCCTATGATGTCGAAAAGGTATTCCTTTGTCTCACTCCATGCCCTCAACTAGGAACAATAGTATTGCACTGCAATAATTTTCCCATTGACGCCTTGTGTAAGGAACAGATAGACATGCAGCACTTGCATATGTAAAGGAAATTTATTTTTGCATTTGCAACAAGTCAAACTGTCAAATACGACAAATCTTTCATCATTCTATAATACCTCTACCTGATTTCATAATGTTGGGTCTCAATTTTGAATCTGTGATATAATAATCGAAAAACTTAATGCTGTGTTGTCATGACAAGGTAACTGTAATTCGAGCAGTTACAACTGGTTGATATTAACATGCTAAAGATTGCACCTTCGGTAGCTGTCATATCTCCAAACTAATTTAAGTTAACACTCCCTTTGTTGTATTTCTCCGTTAATTAATGATATAAGGGTAAAAAATTAAAAAAAGTTAAAGAGTTGCTGTTACATTCGTCTTGTTTAACTGTACATTATATTGTATGTGCCAAAAAATTACGTTTTGAAAAATTCCATCCTGTAAATAAAATTAGTTGTATCGATCACTTTTAAATGTTAAAAAACCATGCTGTATAAAATAGTAATTTTAATTTCTTTTATGTGTGTATAAACGAAATGTTTAATTATCTCATTCTTAAGATATATTTTTAAGTTCTATTTTATATCAGCGAAAATAAATATTTATATATTTTTTTTAACAATGTTTTACTAAAAATGAATATCCAAGACCTTTTTAGATAAGTTTTATGGGGAAGTCTTTTTTGGTTCCTATTTATTAGATCTTAAGTGGAAGATTCTGATGCTGAAATCCTATTTTTTAAATTTATAGGTTGATATTCCATTTTTAGCGCATTTTCTAACGAAGATGGGTACCCATTTTCTATGTCCGCCCGAAGCCTTAACTACTCCTACAGATTTAAATATCTCTAGTTCGTTATTTTTAAATTCAGTAGCTTATAGCTCTGGCACCTGAAGCAAAAAATCTTGATGACTTATGTGCGCATGCGCAATATCAATCCTTTCTGGCTGTGTTATATGTAATCTGACAGGCAGTGACGGATTTAAATTTTTGCGCCCCTAGGCACACCGAAAAATATGCACACCTCCAAAAATAATCGTTAAAATGCAATAAATTTTAAGATGCTAATAAAAATCACATTATAACTTAAAATATTACCTAAAGTAAATATAGAGCAGAAAAATGCCGCCCCTAGGCACGTGCCTATATATGTAAATCCGCCACAGTTCCCAGGCCGGTTCGGGTCCTATGAATGGGTTCGCGCTTGCCGTTTTCGCAAGTTCGCCTCCGATTCCCGCGTGCGCAAGTACCCAGACTAGAATCCAGACTTTTAATTTGCCATGTCTCCTCTTCCGACAGCGTTCCTTCCAGGTTTTCATGGACAAAAGCCATTCTGAATTCTGTAGCTGCTTCGTTAAAGGTTCTGGTATCCTTTACGGTCCCAGTTCTTGCCTTTTTCAAGCTACTTCTCTTGGGAGTGTTGCCATCAGACGTCCAAGTCTTCTGTGCAGTCTCGGTAGGTACGTTACCTGGTTGTTTCGAGTTCCTAGGTTGCCCCACTTCGCTAGAGGGGAGGTCAGATTGCTTAGAGCCCCCTGGTTCGTGCCTCATCTTTTTTAGCTGCCACCCTCTAGTACCAGGTGCTCCAGGAGTAGTTTCTTAGGTTTTTTGTTTATTTTTCTGGTCCATATGAGTTCCATGCGTATGGGGGAAATAAATGTCCACACGCGCGGTGCCCCCTGCACTTGTTGATCCTCTATTCATACACACATCCCCTCGGTCCGGTCCTCTGACCCATAGGATTTAGGTTATTTGCTCAGGTTGTCTCGTGTTAGTCCGGATGGTAAAGCCGAGACCCCCCCTCACTATCAGGTTCGTACATGGTAGGTGGACAGGCAAGCTAAGACGCCACTCAACAAGCCAAAAGAAAAGGAAGAGAACATCCTGCGCTAATGGATTCACACCCAACGATGCTAACAAAAAATCAAAGAGTCAACAGTCCCAAGCTACATCCACCGTGATAGTATGCAGGTCGTGGAGAGGAAGCAAGTGGGTGTACTCCACAAAAAATACCCCGAGGAGAACTCAAAAGCGGAAGAGGCGATTCAAGATGGCATACTATTACCCAAGGTCTCGTCAAACATACAAACTATGATGGTGCAGAGCCAAGATGGACCTCGTATGGTATTGTTCTAGCACTGCTGCAAATTGTATAGACAGAAGCTAGTGTAACCTGCATACCAAGAATGTTAGCGCCCTATCGATCTAGGGCATATACATCCATCTACCTCAGCTCACTCTTGTTGAAAGAGATGGAAGAAGTCCAAACCAACCAGCGCAACAGTCCATCGCATAGGTTCCACAACAAAAGAGGGAGCATAGAGAGTGTATAAAAGGGCGGTGACCTAGCACTTAAAGGCAATTGGTGGGTAACAAGAGAACATAGTCTTTTCTTTTATTTTAACAATTATTGCAAGGTTTGGCAAGTAAGAATAAATTACAGGTGACAATCTTAACAATAAATAAAATAGTACAAAAATTAGTATAAAATAATTTAAAACCTTATACAGTTACATTTTGGAAGATGGTCTGTCACTACTGTTTACAGGGGAGATAATTACTAGATACACATTTATAAATATACACACAGTTAAAAGAAATATCATTAACATCACATTATATACAAACAATATATCGTAAATACGTAATCAGCACAATAAAAACTAATTTGTAAGACAAATAATGTATCAAATAAGAAACAGTTTACGAAAAGTTACTGAAGTCAGTTTTTAATTTAATTGATGGTGTTTGGGAAGTTACAGGTTTACTACTATTATTACAGTCAGTTTTGGTACGTTGTTGCATCTGTTGATTTACACGGACAGCATTCTCCAATCTTGTCCTTAGGTCCGATGATTGGCCCATTAATTTTTTAAATTCCTATTTCGAAACAATTTTATTTATGTTGTTGAATTTACACTAACGTACCAGTGGATACTTAGGTCCTATTTTCATAAGCCATTGGAGACTAACCTCATGAAGTGTGATCGCGTACTTATCGGCCGATCGCAACGCCGTTGCGTCTAGTAGATAATTTATTAGGACTGGAACCAGCAATGCGAGCATTTGGATACCTAACACAGATGGATTTAAAATGAAAAACTTACACAAGATGTTAAACAAGGTTAGTGTAGGTCAGACATGAGATGGCGTAAGCGGGCTGGCCAGAGTCAGAAAGCGGGAATTTGAGGTTAGGTTAAGTTTAGAAATGGAAAACCGCAGATGGGACACTCCCAAATAGCAGTCGCAAACTTTATCTAGTTGAGGGCGATCAGACTGAACACATTAGTTTTCTCTGGCGACAAAAATCACTCACCTTGCATTACATCTCCTTGTTTGCCAAACAATGTTAATAGATTTTGTAAACATATATTGTAATAATTGAATTTAACTTACGATTTTGTGGTTCGGCTAAATTAATTAACGATTCCACTGTAACAATAGTTTTCAGTGTGATCGAAAGCTCAATGTCACTAAGTAGTTTGTGCGAGTTTTCGGAATACAAAAATTCCACCAATCTAGGGGCCAACGCGTGGATATACGGTGTGGCTACTGTACGATCGGTGTGCAGAAACACAGACTTTAAGGTTTGAATGCATTTTAAACGAACCTAAAAATTAAAAATCACTTGGGCTCTAACTAACTGCAAGAACAACTGTACCGCAGCGTTGGAGCTTTGGAGACAGTGACGAAAGTGATTTATGCAGGGATACTGTAAGCTAGGTGCTGTCACGACACTTGAAGGAGCATGAAGAACGAATACTGCAATTGCCAACATCATTGTGACCTCGTCCAATTTATTCTCGTCGCTTCCTGTCTTAGCTAAATCGATTATTTTTGCCAAAGAGCTCTGTAGAAGTTTTTGCCATACTTTGCTGCAATGTTTGTCGTAACTGTAACGATCGATTGCTAGCATTTTTAATATATGCAGAGCAGCTTGTACTGCTGACGCGTTTGCTAAAATTGTGTTATCGTTAATGTTTTTCGTAGCTACTTCCTTTATGACTCCAGTTGTGAGATATAGTACCGTTGGTAAAATCGCTACTGCACCTAAAATACATTTGTTATTTACCCCTCAAATAAAATTAAAATAATCACCTTGCGGCGAGCATAGCTTATGCAAATTTTCCATGCATGAAATAGTGCTGGCTATCAGTCTGCCGGTATCCTCAGTAGGCTGTATCGCATGCAAATAGGTGCTAATCGCCAAGTTTGGGGAGGGACTGAGCGCGGGTAGGTTACGAACAAGTAAACATAAACAAACTTCAAGTACTGCAAACACCAAGGACTGCCCCGGAACAATTGTTCCGTTTTCACCACCTTCCCCTAACAAATCCGCATCCAGTGTTGGCGGTTCCTCAGTTTCTGAAATTCAATCGTCAATATTACTAAAGAAAATATTTGTTGTAATAATAACAACTAACTATATTCAGATCTAAATACGGGTGGTTATTCACAAAGGTATCCGACTATGCAAAATACCTGGTTTTAATTAAAACAGGACACTACATCTTAAAAATGACCCTGAAGCGCCATCTGTTACCAGACAGAGACATGTAGTGGTGGCTTAATGATATTGAGCGTACAATGACATTCGGAGTGATACTTTTGATTTAATAATTGACGCAGATGGTGTCTCAGTCTTTGGAGTACCGGAAATCGATCTGTTTGCTTCACGAAGTAACCACCAGTGTGGGAGATCTAGATTTCAGAACCCAGAGGCAGAGGCAGTAGACGCCTTTTCTTTAAATTGGTCGTCACATTTCCTTTATGCCTTCCCTCCTTTTTCTCTAGTACTTAGATATTTGTATATAACAACATCAATCTGTTTGACCGTCTGAACACCCATCACAGGTATCCTACAAGGAACCGTAATTTGTTATTGATACCCAAACATAGATCTAGCAAATTCAAACATAGCCCACTTTACAATGGTATCAGAATCTTCAATGAATTGCCTCCCAACATCCACATGGCCAAGACGCCATCTTTATTTAAAAAAAGATTAAAACAATATCTAACGGGGAGAACTTATTATAGCCTCAAGGAAATATACAAGAGATCGGCATAGTCCATGCAACTATTATAGGTACCTTATTTGTTTGTGTTTATCTTATGTTATCTATCTTGTTTGTAAACCTTTGACGTTGTCTATATCATTGTTTGTGATCTACTGACAGAAATACATTATTATTATTATTATTACTGCAAAAGATAATACAGGACAAGGCCGCTTTTTAGCCACCTCGGCCCTGGTACCTACTCCTTCTGAAATTGACTGTAAGCAAACTTCTCTTTTTACGACCTAGGCGTAATCTTTTGCTCTATCCTTCCACCGGACACCATCACCCATTATCAGAAAACCTTACCTTGGTAGTCGCGAAGTTATCAGGGAGGCCTTCTGATGAAAAGGAAAGGACAATGCTTTAAACACAATGTCCAGTTCTTTAGTCGATTTCACAGTTAAACAGTACAACACTACACTTAAACTTTGGTAGAAATTCTGTGAGGGATAGAATTTTTCTCCATACAAAGGCGAAGTAGTAAAAATAATATTTTGCCTACAAAACCTTCATCTCTCACATTGGAGCTTTAACCTCAATCACTTTAGGAGACATCAGTCCAGATCCTAACCTCAAAAGGTTTTTGAAGGGGATCTCTAGAATTAGACTACAGGCGTAGGCAACATGGGATCCCCAACACGTGTGACAGTTTTTGGAAGTACCTACTAAAACAACTATCTCAAAAACTGGTTACTTTGCTAGCCTTGGCAACAGGCCCAAAAATCCAAACCATCTCGTTGGTAAAGTGCAGCAATATCAAGTTCCTAGGCTCGGGCGTAAAAATGCAATTTCTGACCAAATAAAAACCTCCGGACCGGACGGAAACAATCCTACTTGAATTTGCCCTTAATTGAAGAAAATCCAAGACTGTATATCCAGCTTAATTAGGTATTACCATAGAGAAAATAATATAAAGAGGTGTAATGGGATAGGATATTGTTGCAGTAGAAAATCTTGTAAGGAAGTCTTGCTATCTTGTGAGTGTTCTTCAAAGCTGTTGTATCGCTGTATTACCATATAGCAGCATGTAACCTGTATTACCTATTTAAATATACTGACAACAAAGTTGAGATTTGAATTACGTCATTACTTTGCACCAGACACAGACCATGATACTGTCAGCATTATATTTAATCACCGGAATGTGATATTATGCTTCCGATGCAAGGAGTCTTTTAATTCTTTCAGGCCATAGACCTATTTATCTTATTATTTTAACGCCTTACCTTTACCCAATTACAAACTTTATTTGAATTTAGCTAGCAATGAAAATTAAATAGGTACAGTGAGAAAATATAACTGATTATTATATAATTTCTAACGTTTTTGTTGGATTAGCGGTACACGTAGACCGTTTTAACACTGCTTTAGCAATTTTGTGTGGAATTTACGCAAACAAGGTGCTTTTGCGCAATTCACTAATGTGGGAGTGCTGTAAGTATGGTGTATTTGTGAGAGAAAAGATCAATTCCATCCATACTACCATTGTACCTATATATAAGGATGTATATTATATACAATATTTTTTTTTCGGGGCAAAAAAAAGGCAGTGTATACCTTCCTTTTTTCCAAAAATCGATTGCACCAAAATTTCTCGGGAAAACACTGTTTCTTATTAATTTTGGGGCGTAGAATCCAAAACAATTCGTACTTTTTCGATCAGACTTCTCTTCTCAATCAAAAGTTATAGACTAGAAACCAATTTCGAAAGAAAATTCAAAGGGCTGTAACTTTTGAACTAGCAGCCCAATCTTGGAACTGTTTGAAATTATGGATTCTACAGGCCACATTCTATAAGAAAATTTTTTTCCGGGTCGATCTGAGACAATTTTTTCTTCGGGCCTCAAAAAAAAGCAGTGTATAACCTTCCTTTTTTACCAAAAATCGACTGCACCAAAATTTCTCGGGAAAACACCTTTTCTTATTAATTTTGGTGCGTAGAATCCAAAACAATTCGTACTTTTTCGATCAGACTTCTCAATCAAAAGTTATAGACTAGAAACCAATTTCGAAAAAAAATTCAAAGGGCTGTAACTTTTGAACTAGTAGCCCAATCTTGGAACTGTTTGAAATTATGGATTCTACAGGCCACATTCTATAAGAAAATTTTTTTCCGGGTCGATCTGAGACAATTTTTTTTTCGGGGCTCAAAAAAAAGCAGTGTATAACCTTCCTTTTTTACCAAAAATCGACTACACCAAAATTTCTCGGGAAAACACTTTTTCTTATTAATTTTGGTGCGTAGAATCCAAAACAATTCGTACTTTTTCGATCAAACTTCTCAATCAAAAGTTATAGACTAGAAACCAATTTCGAAAGAAAATTCAAAGGGCTGTAACTTTTGAACTAGTAGGCCAATCTTGGAACTGTTTGAAATTATGGATTCTACAGGCCACATTCTATAAGAAATTTTTTTTCCGGGTCGATCTGAGACAATTTTTTTTTCGGGCCTCAAAAAAGGCAGGTGTATAACCTTCCTTTTTTACCAAAAATCGACTACACCAAAATTTCTCGGGAAAACACTTTTTCTTATTAATTTTGGTGCGTAGAATCCAAAACAATTCGTTCTTTTTCGATCAGACTTCTCAATCGAAAGTTATAGACCAGAAACCAATTTCGAAAGAAAATTCAAAGAGCTGTAACTTTTGAACTAGTAGCCCAATCTTGGAACTGTTTGAAATTATGGATTCTACAGGCCACATTCTATAAGAAAAATTTTTCCGGGTCGATCTGAGACAATTTTTTTTGCGGGCCTCAAAAAAAGGCAGTGTATAACCTTCCTTTTTTACCAAAAATCGAATACACCAAAATTTCTCGGGAAAATACTTTTTCTTATTAATTTTGGTGCGTAGAATCCAAAACAATTCGTACTTTTTCGATCAGACTTCTCAATCAAAAGTTATGGACTAGAAACCAATTTCGAAAGAAAATTCAAAGGACTGTAACTTTTGAACTAGTAGCCCAATCTTGGAACTGTTTGAAATTATGGATTCTACAGGCCACATTGTATAAGAAAATTTTTTTCCCGGGTCGATCTAAATCAATTTTTTTTTCGGGGCTCAAAAAAAGGCAGTGTATAACCTTCCTTTTTTACCAAAAATCGACTTCACCAAAATTTCTCGGGAAAACACTTTTTCTTATTAATTTTGGTGCTTAGAATCCAAAACAATTCGTACTTTTTCGATCAGACTTCTCAATCAAAAGTTATAGACTAGAAACCAATTTCGAAAGAAAATTCAAAGGGCTGTAACTTTTGAACTAGTAGCCCAATCTTGGAAATGTTTGAAATTATGGATTCTACAGGCCACATTCTATAAGAAAATTTTTTTTCCGGGTCGATCTGAGACAATTTTTTTCGGGGCTCAAAAAAAGGCAGTGTATAACCTTCCTTTTTTACCAAAAATCGACTACACCAAAATTTCTCGGGAAAACCCTTTTTCTTATTAATTTTGGTGCGTAGAATCCAAAACAATTCGTACTTTTTCGATCAGACTTCTCAATCAAAAGTTATAGACTAGAAACGCATTCAAAAAATACTACATCGGAACTGATTCGGCACTGGGCAGTCGGCAGTTCCGCACAGAAAAATCAGGAAAATTCTCTCTTCGCTGGCCTACTTCCTACTTTACGAAGATTGAATTACTTTTATGGCTTGAAGATAAAGCAAAAATCTACGTAGGCGTAGATGACGATCACATTACAAGGCCATTTTCACTTTTATCTATAATTCTATAATAGAATTTGAAGTCGGACGTTTATGATTATGTAGATTACTTCTTATGACGTATGTGATGAAATTTTTCTGAAATACTTCTCATCAATTTTCTTAGTGTAATTTAGTCCATGGTGCTACACACTCTGGATTTTGTTACATGGCAAATTTACCGACTCTATGGTGTTTCTAAGCAAATCGTTGACGAAAACCTCAAAATTAAACCGAATTCTATACCAAGGCGCCACAGAATTGAAATTTCTTTTTTTTTGTAATGATACAGAACAAAGCGATACAAGCTTTATATAGGAGGTCGATGGTGTCCGTCTGTCCGTCCGTGAACAGGATAGGTAACTGCCAAACGCTTGAGCCGATTTGGTTCAAACTGTGCACAGTTGGCCTATACTATATATCATGTGTATCATGCGATACCTAAGTAACTATCTTGATCTGAAGCAATTAAAACTCTTTTACCACGCATGTGTGGAATCCAGGCTCAGATATGGAATCTGCTTTTGGGGTATAATAAACCGTTCGCGATTGCACAAATCAAATGATCCGAAACTCACATACCTTGTACTCGTTGCTTCTTTACCAGTTCAAATTGCTCTTGTGCAGACTTAATTACTTGCTTTAATACTTCCATTGATAAGACTTGAGTGTCGAAACTATCTCTAGTCAGTAGGAGACGATGGAGCACATTGCAGAGCTCAATTGCTAATGATTTGTCAACCATGAACAGCTCCCGAGCCCAAACAGAATCGAGTAGAGTGTACAAAGCTTGAAGACAAGTTACAATACTTCCGAGTGGCTCCGAAGATCGCGAACTACATAATGCCTCCATACATATACCTGTAAAGTAGCAATTAGGTAACACTTTCCTTTACGGATCGGATTTGTACCGAATAATAGGTGAAATTTATCCGATCCACACTCGGGCGGGTTGTTGTTTGCGTTATCATTTCCATCCATCTGAACTTTTACATTGCCAACATTTAACCATAATGTGGCGGCGTGCAAAATTGGGGGCCAGCATTTGGAGTAGTGTGGGCGGGAAGATTCGATTGTGTCATTGGTATAAAAAGCACCACCGTCGTGAGGAAGCTGACTTGCAAATTCTAAAATTGAATGTTTGTAATCAAACCGTCAAATATATCACTTACCAGTGGGCAAAGACAACAATGCATGATCACGTAATGCCGCTAACCAATGCTGGGACAAACTTACAAGTTCAGGCTGCACAAGCGTTAATAAACTTTCACCCTTACACTCGAAATCACCAAATTCATCATCTACATTCGAACTATTACTACCCAATAAAATTGTACAACCGGGCGCAGATCCATTTCCATTCATCGCCACTATATAGACTTCAGCCCAAGCTTTTAAGATCGAAAGTTTTTCAAGCGTGGTTAAGCTTTCGTTGTACAATTGACAGGCGTTTGTTTTGTTCTGTAGTTTATCTAAAGACGATACTAAAAGTTGGTGAACTCTCCGTAAGTCATTCAAATCTCGTGCAACACCGGAACCAATCCAAGTCGAGCAGACATCACACGCGGCAGCAGTGACATGCGAAGATGTTTCGGATGAAAATGCTGGTCGCAATGCTGCCCCAACCTGCAAACTTTCAGTGAAATTCCCAAATGAGCGTGTTTCTAAGTAACCTGAGCTTGAAATTGTTCCAACAGCAGATGACCGGGAAATTCAGGTTCGGGAACCTTAGCGAACTTTTCAATGATCTCCTGCAAGGTCTTCAACCCTTCCAACCTCAATTGATCCGAGTCACTGGTCGCAGCAATAAACGCCATTCGAATTAAGTCTGACAAGTGAAGAACAAGAAAATCTACTTTTCCTTTATTGAACTGCATTTCCTTCGCATGTGTTAGATCAAAATGGGCATTTTTCTGATTACCCTCGCATGCCATTATTATCCTTCTTACACACTGCGCGGCAAACACTCTAGTTGGCCAGCGTGGTTGCACCAATGTGTGCGTGTTAGCATCGTCATCCGCATGAAATTCTGCTTGGTCGTCATCCGCCTCGGTTTCTTCTTGTTCATTTTCGTCCAAGGGATTTAGGCTAATTTGATCTTCAGAATTGGTACTATCTATAAAAGGATACATTTCTAAATATACAATAGATGGGCCATTGTACAATGGGCGATTTTGAATTTGAATTTTGTTAAACAAAGGGAAATTTCCACACGTACCGCTTCATAGTAAACGTGAACAAAAATAAGTCTGGCGATACCAAGATATACAGTGTGTCCCAGATCGCGTGGGATTGCATGGGTAATTTGGAAATTCAAAATGTCGCATAGGTTCGACGTAAATTAAAAAAAACTAAAATTGGTCATTTCCTTAAATGTCTTATATCATCGAAAGTATAAGAGATATAAAAAAAAGTTTTACAGAAAAGTTAGTGTCTTTGATACGCTTAATTTAGAATTGATGTCAAAAAAAAATTCAAGATGGCTACTTTTGAGGAACATTTACCAACTTCCTAAACTTAAATAGACGCTATATCGGATTTTTAGATTACTTGATAGATTTTTTAATTCTCTTTTCAACGAGCCATCAATACATAAGATTGAAAATAAGATACCAGTTATATCAATGGTTTTTATATTTTAATCAAGTAGGCTGTGATGAATTTAAAAAAAAACAAAACAAAATCTATTCGAGCCAACAAAACAATGAAAATAATTACATTAGATGTTTAAAAAATCAGGGGCGCACTCATGAGAGGGGGTTTGGGCATTACAACTCCCTCCAAAATTTTATATAAGTAGGCCTAGAAAAATTTTGGTTTTTATGACATCACTTATTGACTATCTTATTATCCATACTTACATACCTACAAATGGTGGTATAACTACAAACTATCCCCTCGAAAAAATGTCATGCCATTATCCAGTTAAACACATTTCAAGACACTTTGCTTTATTTTACACAATGTATTACCATTGATGCATTGTCCCAGGTCACAATTTGTAGGTCAGTAGGTGGTTTATCCGCAAGAATATCGAAACTAACAGTTTTACCAATCCGAGTATATGGACAGACGAATCTTATTTTTCTAACTGCGGACTGTTCAAATCGACATAATGAACACTATACTCGTCACAGGAAAACCTACACGTAATTTCACGCCGAAATCAAGTAATATTTTTTTTAATTAATGTAATTGGACCGGTAATCTTCGTTGGATCTGTAACTGCTCACCATTATTTACAAATTCTCCAATTCCTTCCTTAAAGGATTTTTCTTGACAGCGTATGTTTCAAAGAAAGGGTTGGTTTATGCAGGGCCGGACTGGCCCAGGCCGCTAGAGTCACTTTTATATAAAACTTTTTTTTATATCTCTTATACTTTCGATGATATAAGACATTCAAGGAAATGACCAATTTTAGTTTTTTGGAATTTACGTCGAACCTATGCGACATTTTGAATTTCCATAAGAAAATTTTAAATAAGCATCCAAAACTGCAAAACATTGCCCATTTATCCAATTCTCTATCTTTAATAATAACAAAGACACTGTATATCTGCGATCCTAAAAGCCGAGTTCATTCCAATTGAGCTGGCTGAATTATTTGTTTTTGGTCCTCATGTCACCTTGGTTCCCAATGGAATTTTGGGTCCAATCAGTTGATGTCAGTTTTAAGTAGTGTAATGAAGCATCCATTTTTCTACCAACTTTGATGACCACTCAGTAACCTGGACCTTTGTAGTTTTTTTTACTGCGAAGAAGGTAAAAGTAATTGCTTTGATTTCTAGCGTCATGTTTTAGCCGCCAATAAGTAATCCAGATGGTATAACTAATTTGCCGTTTGTAACCGTTCCCGTGGGGATCTTTTTATTAATCTTGCAACCTCTGAAAGCTCTCGTCTCCTTGGAAAACGAGAGAAAATGAATATTGTATGATTTCCCAATGCGAAAACGAGGATACAAGGTTGTGCAGTTTATTTCATTAGACCTTTGGTGATTGATCCGAAATTTGATCTAAGAATGGGACCAAATTTTGACATTTTAATCCGGCCAATTAAGTGACTATAAATACTGGTAGCTAATCGGATGTGTTGCAGAAAACCTCCTCTGATTAGATTTCCTGGTGTCAAATGAAGCGCGCTTAATTAACATGAATTTCAAGATTAGTCCCCGATTTTTAGGACGTCAGGGAATCTGGTAATTAATTAAAGAAGTCCACCAGTGTACAACGGCCGACTGAAAATTCTGATGTTTTCTTTCCGTATTTTGGGAATTCTATATAATTGCCTTTTTCAAAAATAAGATTTAATTAAGTAACCAGAATCTTAATACTACTACATGAGTCTGTCCACTTTATTTTTAGACCCTAAAAAAAGATGGACAAGTGCACAAAGGAAAATGCCATTCTTTTGTAACTTTTATAAAAAATTATATAACAAATGACCAAAATCAACATAATGGGTGGAATCAAAAATGGCTCTATTCGAACCAAATACACAAAATGTAAAAATAAAGTGTGCATTTATAAAAAATGTGATAAATACCTGCAGCAACTGTCAAAACATCTTTGCACAAACCCAGCCACTGAGAGAGGTTATCTGCGGCTAGCATTTGCAGCATACTAATCAGCGTATCGTGAATATCTTTGATCAGGCTGCTATCGGTTTCCGTATCGAGCATAGTGAATAAAACTCCCGGCAGTCCGGTTTCAGTAATTAACAATCCCTCGACCGTATTAGCATCTCGACTTTCGTTTGCGAGAGTCATAGCGTGCTCGCAAACTTCCTTTGCTTCCCTTTGCGCCAACTGTCTCAAACACGACGTGGCTGCTTTCCGTAGCAAAAGATGATTACTAGATAAAGTACGCTGCAAGAATATAAATTAATATGATTATTGATTGTATAGTCAAGACATACACATAGTGTGGGTACTAGAGAAGATAAATTCACATGTCGCGGCGCAAATAAGTGAAGTTGTTGTAAACACCCTGTTGCTTCGGCTTGGACCAGTGGATCTTGATGATCTTGCATAATTGCGCACGCGCAGAGGAATGATGACCTTGCCATACAAATTGACACAGTATTGCCCTGCAATTCTGGTCCGATGGTTGTTATTAAACCAGAAAGTACTTTTCCAATGCACTGATGTATATCGATATGTGATTGAGGAACATTTAACAATAATTTTAACGCTAATGATAATGTAGGTTCTACATAACCTCTGAACATGGGACCGCCGGAATCTGATATTAATGCCAGTGCATGTAAAGCCCAAACTTGGACAACCGGGGACGTAGTATCCTGTGCCAATGCCAGAAGGATAGAAACGCTCGTGTTAAGATGTTGGCTGGAACCTAACCCACCCACGTATCGGTGCAAACATCCTAGCGCCAGCGAATGGCCTGTTCTACTTGCAACATCTCGAGCCGATTTCAATTTATCAAAACTGGTTTGAGCCAGTTCGGCGGTAAATCGAGAATCGGATATCACTTGCGCCATTCTACCTACAGCTTCGCCTGCTGCGCAACGTAAAATTGGATTTGCAGAAGTTAGCGCCCCTAAGATCAAGGTAGTTGCTGCCTTCTTTACATCTTCTTGACCAAAACTAGTTTTTGCCTCACTTAATCCTTTTAGACCACTCAGCAAAGCAGTAAATACGTTCATTTGTACAGCTTCCTGCCGAGAGCTCTTCGCATGCTTTATACACTCGATAAAATGCTCTAACATTTGCAATCGGTGTTTGTTGGCAACACATGGAAAAATTTGTCCAAAAAGTGCCACCGACATATCTATTACTGCTACACCCAGAGGAAGTGGACCAGGAGTGATCTCATGCTGTGTGTAACGTATAAATAATTTTTCAAATCGATGGAATCACTTACATTCAATAACGGGCGATACAGACAACAAGGGTCATGTTCCAAAGCACCCGATCCTGCCGCACTGTTCGGTTGCAACTGTAACAGAATTAGATACAGTTAGCGATTGAAGAGCTTTTTACACTACTATTATAATAGATAGTACTCACATGTTCACCATCTGTCCTTCGATTTGGTTCCATCTAAGCGTAACAAATTGTTATGTAATTGCCGCTGTATTAGTAAATATACAACTAGTTACAAAATCTAGGTCTAGGTTGCTCAAAGTTACTATGGCAATGTGAATTATATTGAACGTTTGCTGTTTTAATAAATTATTTTATTCGAATTTGGATTTAGTCCACCATAGGGAAATTTACACATATACCGCTTCATAGTGAACGAGAACGAAAGTGTGTTTGGAGATAAGGGTGATAAAGATGCGCATGCTGTGTTGTGTAGATGTTCTAATAACCACTGCGACGGAGAAGTAGGGGGGCTTCAGAACGTATTTAGGCTAACGTCAGCTTGGTCTACTCTGCCGGCCAGGCAATTAAGTTATATCGATACTAAACTCCCAGCTCCCAGTTTTTCTAATTAAGAAAAACATTTAAAAAAATCAAACGCAGTGGACCCACTGTGAAGTGGTTGCCTTGTGAAAAATAGTAATTATCAATCAACATAGAAAACAGAAAAACCTGCTGAAAAAGTCCTCGCCATTCCATATTTAACATAAATATCATTTCACATCAATGACGAACACAAAGATAGTTAGTACTTACTTGATCCTCAATTGTGCGATGATCCGTCTCTTGTAGCCAAGTGCCCAATATAACCGAATCATCAGCATGACAGACGGTTCTGAGCTGTGAAGTGGTTGTATTTGCAGGATTTTCAGTTAAGGTAAATTCCGCAACTAACATCCGTAATAGATGGGTGTAAGAACCTGGAATAGACAGTGCTAAAAGGGATTCCCTGCAACGCACTTTACCTTCAAATGATTGTGAAGGAAGTAGTAAGAGAGTTTCGTATAATCGCAATCGAACCATCGCAGCAGGGGCTTTAAGTTGTTGACCGTAACTTTTAAGAACATTGGCGATGCTGAAACGAACACAATCACAAGATGTAAATAAATATTGAATATTTACTTTGCCAACATTGCCAAAGCAGACTCTATGGGAGTTAGTAGTCTGCGAATAATATCTTCGGTAACCAATTCAGGGCAATTTTGTACAAAACTATGCATTGCTGATAAAGCCCCAGCCCGTCCCTCCAAGGTAACTTGCCATGTAAACGCATCACCTCTCGCCTTTTCCGATTCTAACTCCTTGGCAGACCGCGGGAACGAATTTCTCCACAAAAGTAACATTCTCGGTAGTAATCCTCTCACCACAGGCACTCCTGCGATTTGGTCAAATAAATAACTAAACACGATAAAGAAGTTAAGCAACCTAAAGTCATAATGGCGCCAATTAGTAGCCATCCAGCTTGAGTTCGATTAATCGACAATCTACTATTTTGACTCGCGCTCCTCAGTAATTCTTCTGCGGTATTGAATATCACTTTTCCTTTAGTGTGTGGTACGCCTAATGGAGACAGATGAACCCCTCCTAGTACAGCGGCCAAGGCGCAACTGTAACCTACAACAAATAGTACAGTGACAATTATTGAAGTGATTACTTCTTATCACTCGGTATGCACCATATGTTTTGCACGAGAGTAAAATCACCTCATAAATAATTATTTAGATACGCTATTGATTTAAAGTATCTGAATTGGGGTGCTTGTCTCTTGACCCCTTCTATTTAAAACAATGTTTCCCCAAAGCCCTTTAAGGTTTGGATTTAGAGAATATAGGCAACTGGTGATGCACATGTAATTCAATGGGGCGTGCATTGCCTCTGAACTTCATTCACCATTTCATAAGCAAGGGGTGTATATGATCGCAAAAATATGTATTAGGTAGATAGATGTACAGAGCATAGTTTCCATACAATATAAACTGATATTTCGTCCATTAATATATGTTTAAAAAATCTAGAAAATATGCGTCAAAAGAGTTCATACTTTAGGAATTAATTGCAAAAATTAGGGAGCATTTTAAGCAATACGAGTGTATGGGATCGGTAGCGTGAATACTTATCTATCTATCAAAAGTTTTCATAATAAAAGTGGTGAATGAAGTTCTGAAAAATGGGCATGTAAACTGGAGAAATGGAAATAAACTACGCAGCTGTGACTAATATCGCGGTCAACAGTGTAGCTTCTTTCTCACAGAGGGTGCCACCAAGAGTTTTATGAAGTCAGTAAAAAATACGATAAAGACATATGAAATAAGCGCTTTTATCTTGCGATGGAGTTGTTCTTACTTTTTAACTAGGGTAGTACTGTGTAATAGGGATAATAAAAGACAAACATTTACGAGCAAAAAAAACTAGCAGGCTATGTAAGTTGCCTATGTTAAATCATTTAGCGATTCTCTTTCAAGGTTGAACAGAGCGTGCGTGTAATAGTAGAATTTGCTGACAGCAAAAAAAGATCGTTCACTGGTATATTTTTATTTTGTCAACTCCTTGCTTCGATATTTATTTGGTTTCCCTTTCCTATTCATTGCAAACGGTGTACCCTCTACCTATCGTTGTATATGAAATAAATAATAGAAATGGGGATAGGTAACATTCCTTTACAACAAATATCAAAATTTTTTTTTAGAACAAAGGGTTGTTGTATATTGTTGTTGATGTCTGGCAAGCGGCGACCTTCTGTGGGTGTTTATTTGTAATACGATTTGTTTGACCGTCTCCCTTATTCTTTATCTTTGCTTATTGCAGATTAAATACCGTAAATTTATAATCCATACCTTGTTGCAAATTAAATTTTTTGAACTGCAATAGTGTCATTGAATAAAGCTCTTTATTCAATGATAGTACCTATTATATATTAGTATTAGTTTAGTGTAATGTGTAATAATTGACCTATACAGGGTGATTCAAATTCGAGGGCCACCATGGGGATCTCGGGAACTGTAAGAGATAGGTAGGTAGTTTACATTTGACAAAGTTGCGTATTTTTTATGCTTAACAAAATCCAGTTTTGGAACTGAAAAAATTCCGACTACTTTCGGAGAAAAACGAAATTTTGCAAAATCGTTTTTATTTTTTACTGAAGTTATTAAAAAATATATTTCAAAATAAATGACACATTATTATGACTTTTTTCCCTCTACAAGATGCTACTTTTAAATTTTAAGTATGACGTTTCGTCTCCAGTCAACCATCTTTGTTTTTTCTTATGGAAGCAATTTTGAATTTTTGTGTCATTTAATAAAGAATTTTTTTCTGATTTCAAAAATATAAAACATCCTCTGTTTTTAATAAGAAATAACACTATTAATTCGTAAAAATGCAAGAAACTACTATGTACGTTACTTAAGACAAAGTTTTCTAGGCAAACAAAGATATTTTACAAACATTAAAAAAATTGATGTGTACATTTTTGAAATCAGAAAAAAATTCTCAGAAAAAAATTCTCTATCAAATGACACAAAAAGTAAACATTACTTCCATAAGAAAAAAACAAAGTTGATGATAGTTAACCGGTGACGAAATGTCGGATTTAAAATTTTAAATTAGCATCTTGTAGAGGGAAAAAAGTGGACATAATAATGTGTCATTTATTATTAAATATCTTTGTAAATAACTTCAGTAAAAACAAAAACGATTGTCAAAATTTCGTTTTTTTCCGGAAAGTAGTCAGAATTTTCAGTTTCAAAACTGCATTTTGTTAAGCATCAAAATACACAACTTTGCCAAATTTAAACTACCTACCTACTATCCTATCTCTTACAGTTCCCGAGATACCCATGGTGGCCCTCGAATTTGAATCAGCCTGTATATTACTAATTTACAAAAGACCATCCCTCGAATTTAAGACATGGGGAAGAGAGATACAAATGGGTATAAACGGCTAAAAAAATCGGTATACCTACCGTATGTCCCCGGATTGACTTTACAAGAAGAAAAACTTCTAATTCGAAATTTCCCTACCGTTTCAGAAAAAAATACAAAAAAAAAACGAAAATATGGTTGAACTTTTTCCAAGTTCTAAAAGTCAAAACGCGTCTCTACTGTAATAACATTTCGTTAGTTACAAAGTCTTCGTTACCTGTTATTTGAATAGGCACTAGGCTCGTTGATATAACAAACACACTTCGTAATGGCATTGAATAAAAACCTCTTTATTCAATGGTAACAATGAAAAAGAATTGAATTTCCAAAGGTGTTTTCTTAGAAATGTCGCCTTTTTACCGTTAAGTGAAGGAATCGAGAGTTTTACTAAGGGTAGGGTTGCCATCTCAAAACTAGAACAGGAAGCGTGAAAACCCCGGATTTAGGGATTATAAACCCGGACATATCAACTGAATTTGATAAAAAAATAGTGTCTAAAGAAATAGTCTTTGAAATTGTACTTTATTTTTATCACTGAATGTTTCAATATTCAATAAATTCCTTTCTTTGGTCCACTGTTATGTCACTAGTGAACATTTTCTTTCAACGCACTAGGCAATTTTCAATAACTCCAAGTATAAATGAGGATTCGGTGTTTTAAAAAATTGTAAGCAAAGCTGATTGGGGCTTACATTTTGACAGAAACTCATAGATGCCTCAGTAGCCCAGATTACCAATGAAACCCCGCCCGGACGCTCCCCGGACGCCCCCTAAACTAGGACAAATCCGGGGAAACCCGGACGGATGGCAACCCTAACTAAGGGCCCTTCCAAACAAAAAGCCCCTGTCGCCACTTGTGAACCAATTTTACGACCTTAATTACGCGATTTTTACTTCATAAAGTTACGTTACAAGCGGTTCATTATTCTCCTCAAGTTATCTGCGGTAGAGAGCTAATTATAATTTTGTTAACCTAGCAATCTGTAAGGAGCCGTGAACGACCTTGCGTTTGTGTTTTGTATCTTCTTGTCGTGTGGTTATGCAAATCAAATTGCATTTTGTTTAAAGCTCCCTCTGCGTTGTTTGGGGCCCACTTAAAGAGAGTAATTATAATGATTTAAATATTTGTATAGAAAACTGCTGTAGTTACGCTACTCATTATTAGGTACCAGCACAGGTCTAACGAAAAAAACTTTGTCCTTTACTATGGGTACTTCTCTTTTCAGGCAATCCCAGCCTTAACAGGCGGTTTATATAGTTAAATAAGTATTTCTTCTTTATTCTATTACATTTAGGTACAGTTCTAATGTGGCAGTTTATTATGCCATCACTCATCAACATCATTTCGGAAAAAAACATTAGGTACCTACTTGTACTAAAATAAAATCACACTAAATAAAGCTGCAGACTTTCTTGAGCTTGAATTATCTTTTTAAGAAATTCAATATATCGAGATAGTTTTTCAGACAAAATAGTCATTAAGTCATCTGTCATCATTGTATTGTTAAGTGTTTATAAGATTTCATTATTATATCTTTTGTTTTACAAATTTCAGTACAAAGAAACAAAAACACACCAAAAATGAACATTGCAAGTGCAGCGTTGAATAGCGATTTTAACTCAACGATTTCGGTTACTTTAAAAGTTAAGATTCTTAATGTGGGTGACCCTTTGTAAATCCGAATCTTTAAATGAAAGTAACGTTGCGTTCTCCTTTAGCTTTCAAGTTTTGGTCCATTAGCGCCCTTTTTTAAGAGGAACAAGCAATTCATGTAGACGTGCCAATGGCCACTAGTAGTCGAGGCACACAAATTAAATTAAAAAAAAAAAAATTTTACGACACTATAAGGATTATTAGGTTTATACCTTAATCCGCAACAAACATTTAACAAGAAATGCGCCCTGGAAGTAGGGTCGCCACAGGAACAGGCGTCCCGTCATCGTAAAATAGGGACGAAATAAAATAAAGAAATACATACATGTTTGTATATTTTTATTATTATTTTTTAATAATTTTTCTATTAACTTAATGAAAGTTATATAACCGTATTGTACCAAACTATTTGCATCAACCGTATTTTTTCGATGAACGAATGTCTTTTAAAAGTGTACTTTTAAATTTGATATTTAGCCATGTTGGTATGCACGCATAGAAATCGGGACCTAATCCGGGATCTGATTTTAGCGGGACGTATAATTTTGTTAAAAAATCGCGACAAATCCCGCTATTTCGGGACGTATGGCAAACTCATACCTAAAAGAGACTTTCTCCCTCGGAAAGCGTTCGGGCCATCCAGAATAGTGAAATTGCATCTACATCAACAAAGAAATAGCTTTTTCCATTAATTAAAAGCTTTATGATCTTACTCAAGATCGCGATTCATGGCTCAGGGAATGCATTAGATAACAATACACAAATTGCGTACATTTTTGCAGGCGTATTACTTACCACTTGGAGACGGCACCTATTAACATTCAGATCGGTAACTGGTAATAAGTCGTATTCTTCTGCGCAGAAGTAACTTTTTTATATTATGGACCGGTCTTACTGAAACAGTAGCACCCTTTACTAAGTGCAAATCGATGCATTGAATTAAAGTTAATTAAATAATATTTATTAATATATACTACTAATTAATTAATCAAAAATTTCTCTATAAATAAGAAATTTGACAGTTGCGCAGTCTGGGCATGCCCAAATCTGAGTTTTACAATATGCGACATGCTTATCTTGACTAGACAACTATTTTTAAAATTTCACAATACCTATCTGTATAAATAGGAAAGGATATTGCGCAGTTTACGTATGCCCAGTTTAACGCCAAGATTTTCCTTAACTCAGGTGCCAGAGCTCCTAATTCAAAAGGAACGAACTAAATATCTTGAAAACTGAAGCCTCGGACAGACGGACGGACAGAGAAAGCGGCGTTGGAAAATGCGCTAAAAATGTGGGTTACTATTTGAAGAAACAGTTGTATATGACGTCACTAAAAACCCGCATACTACAACATGCTTTTTACTCTTTTTATTTTATTGTTTAAAAGTTGCTTAAAATGATCTAAAATGTCGACATTTGATGAAATTTTAACATGTTCAAAGAGGTGATCGCAATAGCCACCTATCTCGCAGAGGTTAAAAATAAAGGTATATAACGAGTTAATTATATCTTTCTCTTGCAATTCAATTCCAGAAACTGGCGATGGAAAATAAAAATGCTTTTGTACATTGGTAAAACGTGAGTCGCAGGTACCAAAAATATGCATACTATTTTTCTAACGAAACACGATTAATGTTCGCATGATAATGAATTCTCTCACAATTCAATTCCAGGAACCTTAAAAAACAATAATAAATAATTTGAGTAAAAAATGGTTTATAATGACTATCATGATGTGTACAAATTACGATTCTATTTTCAAAATAAGCAATGATTGGGTATATTATGACGCTTTTTATTGTTGAGGAAATCATTGTAGTTGTCGAGCTGGAAAATTATACCTCGATTACACCAATCATTGAGCCAACAAAAATTTTCGTTTTTCCTATCTGCCCATCAACTTTCAACGTATCCATTACACCCTTAACGAAGCGATTAAAGACGATTTTTAGGTGTTTCAAGTTTTTCGAAATTAAGATTACGGCAGTGCGTCAGTGCACAACTTCTAGCTTAATTTTGATGCGTTGTAAGATGAAAAAGTGTGGTTTTTCTTTGATAATCTGCTATTAGGAAGATCTTGCTCTATGGTGAAACAAAGAGACGAACGGTTTTCACCTTATGACACTTGAAAATCAAAAAATGATTGAAAAGCAGATTTTTTTGTTATTAAAGCACATGTTTAATAATTTTATATCTAAATGCTGTAACATGTACTTACCTAAGGTGATATAAAGAAATTGAGTGTCAGAAAGAACAAAGGAAACATTTTTTATAAATAAAATAAAGGTTCCAAGGAGGTGGATAATGCTTCTAGTTCCATTGAAATTGACTTACGGTTTTATAGGCTGCATTAAATAGCGTTGAGGCGCGTTGTGGTCTTGGAGGCCTTTTTCGCTCTTTGAGTGAGCCTGAAAATGAAGACTTTGGCGCACTCGTCTTACATTCACACCGACTATATAGATCAACATTTGTACAGTAAACTAAACAAGTGTTTGTTTTAGCACAAAATCGATTGCGTGATCCATTTCGCTGCCATTAAAGCCGTGGGAGAATCAATGGAATACCCCTTATTATATTACAAAAACAATCTAATAGGAATGCTAAACCTTCTGGAGGTGTGTATACTTAGGTATATTATAAAAATGGTTAAAAACTGTAGTTATAATTAAATTAAGGTAATGGAAAGGCACGAATGTTATCAATTAGTATTTTCGAGTTCCTGTACAATTTATGGCGAGCCCAAACAGCTGCCCATTACGGAAGATCATGAAATAGGGGGAAACATTACAAATGTCTACGGAAAAACGAAGTATTTCATCGAAGAAATGTTAGCAGATATTTCGCATTCCAATAAGGTTATTGAAATTAATACTTGTTTTACGTCTGTTTAACATTATTTTTTAGAAATGGAACATAATTTGTCTACGTTACTTCAACCCTGTAGGAGCGCATCCGTCGGGAGAAATTGGGGAAGATCCTACTAAAGCGTTTTCAAATATTATGCCATATATTGCTCAAGTTGCCATTGGACATAAGCCAATTTTAACCATATTTGGAGGAGATTATAATACTAGTGACGGAACAGGTATGTACGTGTAGAGGTTTGCTATATAATAAAACCCCATGACTGTGTTTTCAAAGGTGTTCGGGACTATATTCACGTAATGGATTTGGCGACAGGCCACGTCGCAGCTCTTAGAAAATTATGTAGGGAACACCAACATCTAAAGGCAAGTGTTGCAGGTATGTCACCTTTACCAAAACGCCTGAAATTGTGATTTTTCGCCGATAACTTTGATTTGCCAAAGTTACACAAAGCGAAACAGGCGTTTTCAAATGACACCTGCCATGTTAAACGTGCAGTCTCTACAATTGAGTATGTTTACATTAGGCATACAACCTAGGAACTGGGCGAGGTGTTACCGTACTCGAGTTAGTGAAGACTTTTGAAAAGGTAACTGGAGCTGCAGTCCCTTTCCGAATAATGGTGAAAAGGGAGGGTGATATTACCGCAATGTTTGCGAATGCAGATTTAGCCGACCAAGAACTGGAATGGAAAGCAAAACACACTCTTGAGGAAATGTGTATGGATCTTTAATAATTGTCAAATTGGTTTTACAACCATATTTTTTAGGTATCGACTTTTGGAGATGGCAGACAAAAAATCCTTACGGATATCGGCCGAACAAGTCTTCCAAAATTACAAACGGACATGGGCATTAAACGATGGCTTTATTTATTTTCTATTTTAGTATTGGACGACGCCTGCAATATCTCTAAGTTCCACGAAAAAATTGCATTTACCTATACACAACTCTATATTTTTTTAAATTGGGCAAACACCACAATTGTGTACGGCGTTTACGTATTTACCTACGATAAAAAATTTCCACTTTTTTAAGTAAATGTGTTTTATTGCTTACTAACACTTTTATTGTGTTTTTCAAATTTTAACTGACGATCCATCACAACACCTAGATTCCTGACTACGTCCTCATACTTGAGAACGGTGTCTTTCAAAATTATACTTAGCCTAGAAATGCCTTTATCGTACACTCTATTGCCTCCAAATAACATTAAATTTGATTTACGAGGGTTTATAGTGAGACAATTCGGTGTTCTGCATGGTTCACAAAAAGTCGGAGTTAATTTTTATTTCGGCCCTCGCACTCGTTAGATTATTAATGTAAAAACTGTGACCGTCATCTCCATACAAAATTTGCAGATTTCGCAATCCATGCAACCATCGGAAACATTGGAAATTATAACCGTATAACGTAAAACACAAATAAACCTTATTCACCCGGGAACGTAGACTTTTTGAATAATAAGCCTCATAACATAATATGCTTGTAATCCTATTAAAGGAGACAATTATAGATTGGAATTAACAAAACAATTGCGCACTATTAAGTAAGTTCGGTATCGACAAGTATCCGCGACTTTTCTTTATAATCTACCGATTGCGGCGGAGTACGGTACAATCAACACTTGACGCGACACCATCTGTCTTCTTTTGTGCTTGATGAAACTGGTAACTTCATACCCATACACAACATAAGCATTTGCAATGCTAAAATGAGACAGTTCTGAATCGAAGTATGCAAATTTGGGTATATAAATTAAACAACGGCCCTAGAATAGACCCCTGAGGCACTCCACAAATTTGGGATCTAGCTCTTGTCAAGTTATTATTCTGCAGAACTATTTTCGGATGTTAAAAAGCAATAAAGCCTCGGAAACATAAGATTGAATTCTTTTATAAAGTTTGGCGGTTTACATTTTCTTCAGGTCTTTTGAACCCCTCAGGAGTTAAAGTACTACTTTGCAGTTTAATGCAAAAATTGTTTTTATTAGTAACAAGCTTCATATGAATGTATACTTGTTATCTGCGACCAAAGTCAAAAGTTAAGTGAGGTAGGCAACACATCATACTCTATACCCTTTAAAAATTTTGCACTACCGTAAATTACGATTTCATTTCATATCATTACACAGGTTTGAATTATGAAAGAAAAAAAATGTAATTTTATTTGCTATTTATTAGTTAGAATTTTTCATAAACAGATAAATGTTGAAAACGTATCGCTTCAAGTCCCCAACTGGTCCAATTTGGAAGTAAATACCTGGCAAATATTTCTAGACATTTCGGATCTTCAGGCAAATGTGTCTTCAAAATCTCTAAAACACAGATTATTTTTAATTGCACAGATGTTTTTGAATAAGTACCTACCAATAAGCGGGGGTTTATGGGAATGTAATGCACTAGGAATACTAACAATCAATTTATCATTGAAAAATTGCCAATCTGGTCCTTCATCTCTGGAACCTATGATTATTTGCTCGAATGGTTGCTTGCCAGGCGGTTCTGAAAATTTGCACACCGTTTCCCCAGTTTGTGTGACCTGGAATAGGAGACCCAATAAACTTTTCCCCAAAAACAGAGATAGGCACCTTTAACCAAAACAGACGTGCAACAAATTTAACCTTCCACTTGGGAAAAAATTCGTTTTGTACCGCCTCTAAGTGCTGGTTTGAATTTGTACACCAAACAACAACGGTCCCACTTTCTCCTAACAATCTCTCCACGGGCAACTCTTTAATGTTGTCATTAAACATCATTTGATATCCATCATTAGTTTTCGCCTTCTTACGACGCACATACTTGTTCCACCAAGGCGGGTCCAACACAATCAAGTCGAATTGCTCATCAATGAAATGATCGTTGATTTCCGCCACATCTTTACAATAAAACCTGCAATTGTTAGGAAACAAAAAACAAGAATCATTTATTTCGACAAGCTTGGCCTGGTCGTCATTTCCGCCTGTAATATTTGCAATGTTCGGCCTTCCAGATTCTGCGTAAACTGTCGCAGACGTTTCAAGAGCTTCAATATTAGCAGATTTGGAGAATTCCTTTACTTTCGGAAGAAGGAATCTTGATAATTCAACAACAAACTGCTGGTAGGATTTCTGGACGTGTTCCTGCAATAATTGGTGTAATTAGGTTTACTGTTGAAGCTAATTGCGGTGGTAATTACTATACATTGATGTAAATTATGGTGATCTAAGGAGTGCGATTCGTTTTTACGCTTTCTGGTCGATTTTTTGGTCAGATCTTGAAATGGAGAAACTATTTTGAAAAGGTTCGGGTTTAGCTTGAAGGTCTTGTGGCTCTCGCCCTTATCAACGTTAATATAGAAATTGTTTATAAGCTCACAATGAGATATAAACCAACCATTATTTGTGCAATGTAAAATACTCATTTTTAAAGGTTATGTATAAAAAATAAACAAATCAACTGTTGGTGGTTCAAATCCCAACATGCGGTGGTGCCATGTCTGCTGATTTACTTTGAATTACGATACTTTTACATTGGAAGAAAAGACTATGCAGCTGTTTTGTGAGGAAAGTCGAAGTTGCAGAAACAGTAGAAGTAGCCGAAAAAGTTACAAATTTACAAAAAGAACAAATCGAATAGGCAAGGACACCCAAGAAACCAAAGAAATTGAAGGTACTAAACAAATAGAAATTGAGGATGACGCCACAGCCGATTGAGTATTAAAAAGCGAGGAAGGCAATGAATCCCTAAAAATCAAAGGAGTTAAAGTAGATGGAAAAATATAAAGTTGAACTGGAAATGAAAATGAGCGGCTCGTGTTCTCAATTAACAGAGCAGTGTCTCCCACCTCAGAAAGTGATTAAATTGAAGAAAGCAAACCGTTTCATGTGCAAAGTACACAGAACGTGCAAACTATCCGATGGAAATTAAGAAAAGTTTATTACGGAGATGGAGGTGAAGGCCCTGAGAGCTGTGGGTATGGAATATATGACACAGATCGAAGTATAGGAAGAATGCGATAAAGAAGAAGGAATTGTGGAAGCCAAGTTGCTTATGAACACGAGGGGATTTGAGAACACAATGAACCAAAAATGCCTATAGCCTTGGGAAAGCCGTGGGAGTCGAGAACTTTGGTCTAAAGTCGACAAAAAACGAAATAGCTGAAGCAATTGATTAGGCTGAGAAATATGAAAAAGTCCAGGAACTTGAAGAACCCACTGCAAGCAAAGAGGATGAAGTCAAACCAGTCGTGGGAAGCCCAAACAGTCGAAAGAATTAAAAAAGTCGAGCAGTATAAAAATAACTAAGGGTTGTTCCAGATGTTCGGCCCACATAATTTGACAATTTAGCGTAGAAACTGTTAAGGAAACTGAGGAAATCGCGAACTATCTTCCCCATCCTTTTCCATTTACGATGTATTGCCTACATAGCGTAGTGCGTGACTAGTTTGAGAGATTTGCTTCGAAAGTCTGATATTTGTTATAAATTACCTCATTGCTTATTTCTTGGCGACAATAATAACAAACAACAACCACAACATGAGTATAAAAAACAAAAAAATTTTATTCAGGCAAAAAAATCTTGGAAACTTCACAAGGAGATCAGAAATACGGAATAGTTTTGCAAAGTGAAGGAAATAAAAAAGCCTAAACAACTAAAGAAGAGGAGGAAGTCGAATGAATCTACAAGAAAATATGCGTAGCTTTGGAAGAATGCGAAACAGACGTGGAAAGATAACAAGAAAATATGAAAGGTTAGATGAAGATCCAGGGAGACAAAACAGGTAAACAGAGATGGAGAAACCGAAGACGTTGGAGCAGGCGGCGCAATAGAAGGAAAAGTATGAAGAATCCGCTGGAACCGCGAAAATCGGGGGAGCTGTGAGCAGTTTTCCCTTCATTCATAATTAACCGGGCGTTGTCTCCAAATTTCAGAAACGAGGAAGATTCGACAAACACAATAATCGAAGAAGCAAGGATGCGATAAACACCTCAAGAAACAAAGTAGTGATAAATATACAGAAAGAAATGCAGGATTAGGATAGAATTTTGAGTTAAGGGCTTCGAATAAATTAAAACATCTCATGGAACCTACGGAGACAAAATGTTATGAAACCGAATTAACCTAAAGTGTCGAGGACAACAATCCCAACTGAGGAGTAATAATGTCACGATGAGAGAAAAAGTGAAGAAGTTAAAACAGCCGAGAAACCTAAGTGAAAAAGTAATTGAAAATGGCAATGTTAGCCAAGGTGACAGAAAAAGGAAAAAGGAGGAAGCCAAGTATCCTAGAAAGTGTATCGTGGTATCATTCTAGTCTTATAAGTTATAACAAAATATCACCCTCATACAGTATTGATTTTGAGTTCAAAAATAATTGAGCGTTTGTTTGATTTTGACGTTACTTAATTGTTTATTGTAAAAGTCAAGTCACAATCTGCAGTAAAAATGTCCAGATCCCGGCGGGAACAGCGTCGTATGGCAAAGGAAAAAGAGAGATTACAGAAGCGCAGGCATGAAAAAAGGAAATGTGTAGCAAATCGGTTAACTCATTGTAAAGGTACATTAAATTCGACCATGTAAGTAACTTTTTATTATTGCAGATGATAACTTATACTTCTTTATCGTTGGTGGAATATTACTCCTTTGCTGTGGTTGGTACACAATATACCACCTGCAAGCTCCTGCAAGCTAATAATTGAAGTTACTTCACATATAGTAATACTACCTAAGTTTCAAAAGAAATTTTCTATTTGTAATCATCAAAAATGATTGTTTTACTTAATTGTAGCACTAAACAGATATTTTTTGTACAGTAAGTAATACATGTTATGTTATATTGCTCTGGAGATCTGGCTGGTGTAACAGGATGCGTTAGGTGAACGTTTGAGATAACATCGTATTTGACCTTTTCTTTTGTATGTTTTCAAGTCTATACTCCAACCCTGTGTGGAAACGGGAAAAGAATATTTCCACTGCAGAAGTGCACTGCATGCGGTAAGAGTCCGTTAATCAAAGACAACCATTTCCTTCTTCCCAAAGTGCATCAAATTCGTTATTGGGAAACTTTGCTATGCGTGG